GGAGGAGGAGGAGGCGGCGGAGGGTAGCGCGGGCCCGTAGCCGTCGTCTGAGTCGGAGCCGGAGTCGGAGGTGGTGGGCCGCTCGGAGAGGTCTGCTGGAGGGGGCGCGGGCCCGAGGACGCGCTTTGTGGGTAGAGAGGGGCCTATTGATTTGGGTGCTGGTGCTGGCTGTGGTTGTGCATTTGGTTGTTGCTTTGATGATGGTGTTTCGGTTTGCGCAGGAGGGAGGGTTGGGCCCGGTGCAACGGAAGGGGGTTTGCTGGGGCCGATTGAAGGTGCTGCGGCTGCCTTGGCTGGCCCTGCGCTTGGGCCAAAGTCATCGTCGTCGTCCTCTGAGGCATCGCTGTCGAGGGCGATCTCGTCTTCGTTTGCGCGGCGTTGGACTTTGCTTTGGGGAGGTTCGGGCGAGGTCGTCTCGTCATCGTCTGGAGTTCGCTTGCGCTTTGCTAGATGCGGCGGGAGTTGGGGCCCAATTGAAGCCATATTATTTGTCTTGCTGACAGCCTGAACTTGTCAGAGGAAGAAGAGCCAACGTAGCCCTTTCTTTGGCAACAGTCGGGGTTTGCAATCGTAGTGAAGAGTCTTGCCGATGTTTGGAGGCTCACTGTAGATCATCAAAGGCATGTGCTAAAGCTTCTAAAATAGAACAAGCATGTGCTGGTTTAGCTTGTCCGGAGCGTTGTCGGGCCGCGGAAGGTGGCGTAGCTCAGCGCATTCTGTTGGTTGGTTCCGCAACGATGGAGCTTCCAAGCTGCGTAACCCGCCTTCAGGCGCAGGGCACATCAGACAACCCTGACAGACTATACGGCGATTGTGGCAGGGCTGTGTGAGCTGCGAGCTAACAGAGGGAACAGCCATTTCATCTGCCTAATCGTCGCTTGACTTCCAAGTCTGCGAGCCTCTCAACTTGTCTCTTTGGCACGAATACGAAAGCTCTCAATCCAGCTCAACACCTTAGCCTATCCTGGAAGCACTCTGGTTCGATGCGATCTTTGGAGCCATGCGCGACACTAGACATCCGCGATGAGCGCACCAACAGAGGAGAGGGAGGATCCCGTGGGGGAAGAAATGGGGGACATGACCGGGCTCTCTCCGTCCGGTGATCATGCAGACAGCGACGAGGAGACTGTGAAAGGAGGCCACGATGAGGATCACATCACTGAGATCCTGGAGGAGGAGATGCAGTCGCCCTCAACACCGGTTGCGCAGGGCAATTCGGTGATTGCCAATAGATATCGCGAGCTTCTGCAGGACGGAACAGATACTGCGTCCGAGGATGGATCAACCACAGATGCCATCCCAAGACGAGCGGGGAGCCCGGTGGATTCTATGCTCTCTGTGCCGGATGATTCCCCGTCGATCCAGGTAAGCTCTGTGGTGCCTCGTCTATGTTGGCATGAACCCTAACAATTCCAGGGCTCTGTGTTATCCTCACCTGGAAGCAGCGTCCTCCCCTCATTAGCCTCGCGACCAGGCCTAGGCAGCCCGACGCCTTCGTTTAGACCGTTCGACCGGAGGTTCCAGTCGCGAATATCGTCACCCAGCCCTCTCTCGCCACGACCCTCTTCGCCCGCATTTCTCTCTAGCCACAGTCGCAATGTGTCCCTGAGCAGTAATTTTCTATTAGATTCCGGCGACACCGAAACCCCGTCTCCGCCGTGGGAGGTTGTACGATGGACGAAACTGAAGAAGTTGAATGGACAGGCGTTCTCAGAAGCTGGGAAGAGGAACTTTGGTTCACCGACTTGCATTGCTGTTGCAGCGTCTATAGTGATTGGAACGTCGAAGGGAATAATCTTAATGTTTGACTATAACCAGAACCTGAAAATGATCATAGGTCCTGGGACAAAGGGTGAGTAACGACCAGGGGGTGGTCGTTGTCGGGATTAGCTAACAGAGGCCAGCTGTGGAATCGGGGGCTATCACGTCGATTGCTGTCTCGGCAGACCATACCACAGTTGCGGGAGGACATGCAAGCGGTAACATCTTTACATGGGACACAACAAGGGCTGCGAGGCCTTTTCTTCAGATCCCACATCTGGACGCAGCACAGATGCAAAATCGGACACTGGACGGGCATCTCCCTAACGTAGCAATCACTCATCTCGGCTTCCTTGGGACTAGACACACAGCTTTGGTATCTGCAGACGATCGCGGCATGGCATTCTCGCATCTCGCTACAAGGGGCACAGGAGCGTTTGGCCGGTCGGTAAAAACCACTCGAATCCTGGGGCGGTACCCGGACACGAAGCCGCCCGTATCTGGCAAACCACTAAAACCTAGCACCGTCCTGGCCTTTGCCCCTTTACCGCTTGGCAATATCGAGCGAGCTACAGATACTCTGGGGCTCACTGCCATGTTGACGCCTTATCTCTTGGTCATTGTATCAACAACTCCGATCGCACAGACTCAACACAAATCTGCAAGGCCTAAGGATGTTGTCGCTCACAGCGCGATGACAGGATGCCTGGCATGGTTTCCCGCTGTGAAACTGAAAGTCCCGGATCCGAGCACGGGAAGTCAGACATCAAAAGCCAAGCTGGTGTACTGTTGGTCTAACGTCCTCACGGTGCTGGACGTAGAGGAGATTCCTAGTGACGACAAAGACAAATCACCCAGTTTGAAGTTCAAAGCACGGAGCCGGTGGAAATGCGAGGAAGCGATTGCCGCTGTGCAGTGGTTAAGCCGATCTGTGCTGACAGTCCTAACTGTCTCGCAAAGATTGATAGTCCTCGAGGACCGGACAATGCGGATGACCGAGGCCTTCGATCTTATATACAAGCATATCTATCACGTTGACTTGTTTTCTAAACAGCTCCACAGCCTAGTAGAGCAATTGGATGAGGAGGACACATCAATGCATGGCGTGGTGGCTGATGCATTTTACATGAGCTTCAAAGCTTACAAAGGTCGAATATTCCTCTTGGGCTTCAATGACGTCTCCATTGGCGCGTTATCAAACTGGGCCGATCGTCTGATCGCGCTTATGGAAAATGGGGACTATGTTGGCGCCATACAGCTGGCGACTTCCTACTACACGGGAGACGCGGACAAACTTACAGTAGGCCTCCCTGAAGATGCTGAGCTAAGACATCAGATGGTGCGAGATAAACTCATCGAGATCATGAGCGCATCCTTGAAATATGCCTTTGGCCAACGACAAAAGAACAGATCTACGGCTGATGACACCCATCTTCAAGAACTGGCCGAAACATGTTTCGTTGCATGCCAAAGTGTTGATGATAGCGATTTCCTGTTTGATGAAATGTTCGAATGGTATGAAGACGCTGGAGTTGAAGGAATATTCTTGGAAACCTTAGAACCCTATATTCTCGAGAAAACGATCACGGCCATTCCACCGGGCGTTGTCAAAGCGATGATCACCCATTTCGTCGGCAAAGGACTCGAAAGCCGACTTGAAGAAATGATTGTGCATATGGACACTGCCACCCTGGACCTGGACCAACTGACGCTTCTCTGCAAGCAACATGGGCTCTACGACGCCTTGATCTATGTCTGGAACCAGGCCCTGAGAGATTATATCACGCCACTTATTGACTTGCTGGCGCTCTTGGTTCCGCTGATGCAGAACGGGGAATACCTCGGATCTGCCAATGTAATGGAGGAGGAAATATACGGGGTGAATGCCCTCAAAATATTTCCCTATCTGTCGTACGTCTTGACTGGTCGAATTTACCCTATCGATGAGAGGATCGAAGACGATGTTGCTATGAAAGCAAAGGCTGAGATATATTGGTTCCTCTTTTCGGGAAAGAGCATTACATGGCCGAAAGGGAGCAAAATGCGCTTTCTCACTAGGCCAGACCAGTCTCAGGAACCATCATTCCCGTATCTTCGGATGATCTTGAAGTTTGATGCCCCAAGTTTCCTAAGTGCCCTCAATGAAGCGTTCGAGGACTCTTTTCTGAACGATTCTCCTGATAAGCAAGTCAACGGTGGTGCAAGAGGAGAGTTACCAGAAGAACAGATCTTCGGCCTTACTGTGGACAGACAGTACATTGTGTCTATACTGACGGAGATCATGAATCCTGCAGACTTCGCAGCGGAGGACACCATCTACTTAGACATGTTCATTGCTCGGAACATGCCTAAATACCCTCAATATTTGCTCATTCCCGGCTCATCTCTCACCAAGGTCCTCACAGGCCTCTGCAACTACCCCGGTCCAGACTTGGCTGAAGATGCTCAACTTAGTGCGGAATACTTGCTCTCGGTCTACCATCCTCCAGACGTGTCGTCCCTGATCCCGTTATTCAAGACGGCAGGCTTTTATCGGATCCTGAAACGTATATATAGGACCGATCAGCAGTATGGAAAACTCCTGCAAACGTATTTTGAAGATCCCGATGATCAGGAAGAAGTGTTCAACTGTATCGCGGAATGTCTCCGGTCGCAGGCTGGTCTCACAAAGCGTCAGATCCACGACGTACACGAGGTTATAAAGAATAATGCCAGGCAGCTCGTCGAGCTGGAACCTGGCACAGCTGCCGCAAAGCTTGGCGCTTATGCACCAGAGCTCCATTATCACGCTTTGGAGTCTATCGAAGATGAGCCTGAGCTGCAGTATTTATACCTGAGGGCTATACTAGAACCCGATAGTGAGCATGGTGATGACCTGAAGCCATCGACGGACAGAGACTTGATCGAGCGGTATGTCCAGCTCATGTGCAGGTTCGACGCTTCGCACGTTTCCGACTATGTTGGAATTGTCCAAGCAACCAATCTTCGCCTTGACAAGCTTCTTCCCACAATGGAAGAAACTGGCGTTATTGATGCCGCAGTTGTCCTCATGGCTCGTGAAGGACAAGTCCAAGAAGCTATGGGCCGCCTGATCAAGCATCTCAGAACTCTTGAATCTGCACTACAGGGGCTGATGACCGGTGCGAAGACCGAGAATGGAACGGCCGACGTACAAGACTCTGCTGAAGATCTCCTGAAGGCCCTCCAGAAGTATACCCATGTTGGTATCTGGCTGTGCCAGGGCCAAATGAAAACTATGAAGAGGATCAATTCGGTGCAGAAAAAGCAAAAGGGCGTTTCTCCTGATAACTTATCCCCGGAAGAGGTCCTCTGGCTTGACTTAATTGACGCTACAGTGCAGATCACGCGGCACATATCATCGGCTCTGGAAGTGTCCCCTGACGGTCCGGCTGTCAATGGTGCTCACGCAGTTAATGGCGCTACACCAGATGACTTGGACACGGAGAAGCTGCTCTGGTTGCTCCGATCTCTAGTACAGCATACCTTTACAGCTCTCTTGACATCAACCTCGACACCCGCAGCACCACAGCCTGGCCCGCGGGTAGCCTTCAGTGCTGGGAGCAACTTGTCCTTCCTTCGCATTCTTCGGGCGTTTCTCACGCGAGCTGCGACAACGTCCCCGAATCTTGCAGACTTGAGGGCGGTGCTGGCGTCTATATTCTCTGCATATGCATATGAAGAATCGATCTTGCGCTTGTCAAACAGGTTATTGGAACAGAGTTTGTTTGTCAATGTTACGCAGGCGGTCAATTTGCGACAGCGCGGCTGGCGGCCTAAGGGATCTACATGTGAGGCCTGCGGTCGCCGCGTCTGGGGACCTGGAGTACCAGGCAACATCTTTGAAGCATGGGAAGAGAGACAGGCAACGGACGAGCTAAAGCGGGCAGAGAGAAAGGCGCTCTTGTCAGGCAAAGCCGCAGAGCGTGGAAAAGAAGTGGAGAGTCCCCGTCGTCACGACATGGACGAGGACTATACCAGCAACGGGAAGGGCAAAGGAAAGTCGTCTGCGGCAGGCGATGAGCAGTCCTATGAAAGCAATGACGACAGTGGAGAGGCGCAAGATGGGGACCAGAAGCCCGTGGACGCTCTGGGCCGGCGCAATGATAGAAACCAGGCCCTGGGTCCTCTGGTTGTTTTGGCTTGCAGACATATATATCACCAGAGCTGTCTGGAGTCGCTGCAAGCCCAAGCTGAGCAAAGGGGGGTGAGGCGTGTGGATGAGTATGGTAGAGAGCGGGAGTATAGGTGCCCCATTGACGGATAGAGGGGCCACTACCTCTTCATGAAAGCCCATTATTTTATGTGTATACCTGTATGAATATACCTGAATCTATGATCAGATATCTCAAAAGAATCGGTCTCCTCCTGGCATTGTTACATTTGTCAAGCTTCATTTTTGTGATTTTGGTGCCACAGTAATATAGGCAGGGGGTGGGATGCCGCCTCCCCACTCCCTAAATGGCTGGCAACCGTGGCGCGTTTCTTGAACTTCCAATCTCAAACCCAATTCCACCTACGATTATGCACAGGCAGTCTTGCCTTGTTTCTCACAACACCGAGATCAACCATGTCTATGAGCTCAGACGACGACGAGAAGCTCCTCTCGGACAATCAGTCCAACGAGTCAGAGGAATCCGGCGACGATGAAGCGCTGCCACCACCGCCGTTGCAACACAACTTTGCGCCGCCTTTCTATGGCAGGCCGCCCACGCCTCTACCGCCATCACCATCTTTGACCTCACTTCTACGACCCTCGCGACCGACCACACCAGACGCCTCGGATGATGATTTCGAGCCGGTGCCGCGGGCATCGCCCAAGGTGCCGACCTACGAGTACTACGGCTTTGTGCTGTACCTCTTCTCGAGCCTGACCTTCCTCATGTACCTGCTGTGGTCGTACCTGCCATCGCCCTTCCTGCACGCGCTGGGCATCTACTACTACCCGAATCGCTGGTGGTCGCTGGCCATCCCCAGCTTCCTGGTTATGCTGCTCGTGTACATCTACGTGGCGCTGGCGAGCTACAACCTGGAGATCCTGACGCTGCCGCTCAGCAGCATCGAGACGATCGTCGACGACGCGGCCCGCATCGCCGTCATCGACAGCAAGGGCCGCCTGCGCAGCGAGAACATGAAGAGGAAGGCGGCGGGCAAGGAGTCGCGCGGCAGTAAGACGGGCGCCATTGGGCGGGACGGGGAGCTCAACTGGAAGAACATATGGAATGAGGGCACGGACGCGGTCATGGACGTGCCTCTTGCTGGTGTCTGCGAGATATTGTATGGCGAAGAGGAGGAGGAGGAGATCAGGAATGGCGATGCTTTGAGCAGAGAGGCATTTGCTTAGAGTGGTCTTGGCTCACAGGCATGAAATGGCGTTGGTCGGACATAGAATAATTGATACCCCTTGACTTTTCATCACACTGACCATACCCATATATTCGATTTTAAGGCTGGTGATGCTTGATATACCATGAATTACTCAGTGGCCTCTTCTCTTCTCAAGGATGAACAGAACATCACTCCCGTCATATCAAATTTATTCTATGTGTTGACATATAAATGCGCAATTGGCTGCTGGAGAGCTTCTGGCTTGACGAACACGGCGATGGCTAGCTGGAGCTGTGGACACTGCCCCGGTACTGCGTTCCGTACCTGCGCTTGGTCGGAATTTTCTTCGGCCCGCCCTTCACTGGTAACGCGCCCCTGCCACCTCTTAAGCTTAGCAGCCTTCTACAAGTAAACCGCGATTCGAGCAGGAAAGGTCCTTCGCATCCCCAACGAGACACTCACATCTGCGCCAACGGCATTCGGAAACAGTCAATTCGACCCGGAACGGTGTGAATCATGGCGTCGCAGCCTCTGTCTTCGTCGGTTCAGCCGACGGACATCTACGGTGGAGGTAAGCATAATGGAGCTCGCCCTTTCCCTTCCTTTCGCTCTGCATTTCGGACAGCTTGCTAAGTCTCCAACGCAGATGAGGTCTCGGCTCTCGTTCTCGATGCGGGCTACTGCAACACACGCGCCGGCTTCGCAGGCGAAGATGTTCCGAAGTCTGTCCTCCCCTCGTTCTACGGGCACGTTGGCACGGGCGACGCCGCGCGCGACATCTTTGGCGACGAGTGCCTGGTGCCGCGCGCCGACTTCGAGCTGCGCAACTACATGAATCGCGACAGCGAGGTGGAGGACTGGGACGCCGCGACGAAGATCTGGGAGCACATGCTGGTGAAGCGCCTGCAGCCCGAGAGGCCCACTCCGCCGTCCAAGAACGGCCTGAACACCGACAAGAAGGAGGGCGCGGACGGCGAGGGCGACGTGTCGATGGAGGACGCAGAGAACCAGGAGCTGGAGGAGAAGCCCCTGGCGGAGAATCCACTCCTCATGACAGAATCACCGCTCAACCCGGGCAAGAAGCGAGAGAAGGCCATCGAGATTGTCATGGAGAACTGGGGCTGCCCTGCCTTTTGGCTCAGCAAGACGCCGGTGCTGTCTGCTTTCGCCGCAGGCAAGGCTTCAGCGCTAGTCATCGATGTTGGCGGCGCAAACACTACGGTCACGGCGATTCACGATGGCATGGTGCTCAAGAGATCGATCCAGAAGTCGCCGGTAGGAGGGTTGTGGCTATCTTCGCAGATCCGCAGCCTGTGGGAGTCTAGCGAGCCCAAGGTTGACCTCGTACCTACGTTCATGATCGAGAACAAGACACCTGTGCCTGCCCTAGAGCCAGCACAGTTTAGGCTGCGAAAGTTCCCCTTTGAGATCCACCCGTCGTTCCGTGCATACGAGGAGGAGCGTGTTCTCACCGAGTTCAAGGAGTCTGTGGTTGAGGTCTGGAGGGGTCCTGGGCGTTACAGCGCACCAGGTAACGATGAGTACGTCAAGTCACAACCCGGCCGCGTCTTCGAGATGCCCGATGGCGCCAACCAGATGTGGCGCGAGCAGCGATTCAAGGTCTCCGAGGGCATGTGGGACGAGACAGCCGCCTTCCCTGTGGCAGAGGATGCTCGTGTGGGTAAGGCCCAGACGATCCCCGAGCTCATTAAGGCGTGTCTCAATGGCGTGGACGTCGATCTCCGGCCGAACTTACTAGGCAACGTCGTCGTCACCGGCAGCACAAGCTTGTTGAACGGCTTCAACGACCGCCTCAACAACGAGCTTACCCAGATGTACCCCGGACTCAAGATCAAGATCCACTCGGCGGGTCTGACCAGCGAGCGACGATTCGGCGCCTGGATCGGCGGCAGTATCCTAGCCAGCTTGGGCACCTTCCACCAGATGTGGATCTCGCGTAAGGAGTACGAGGAGAATGGCGCAGGCATCGTTGAGAAGCGCTGCAAGTAGCTGCTGCAGCAGATATCGGGGTTGTAGTTCTTTACTTGTTCGGTTGAGCTGGCTGTGTTGGAAAAAATTTGGCGTCTGGAGTTACCAGAAGGCTTCTTCTCCTGGGCCTGCTATGCCCACGAGACGTATCAAAACGGGGGAGGATAGCACTGTGCAGGACGGATTTGTATGTCTAGACAGGCAGATAGGCGTCTGAAGCCATTCAAAAGAGTGGAACAGAACAAATAACTCACTTGTAACATCACGCTCCTGTAAGTGGACTGACTGACCTTTGTTGTGCGTGAATATATTAGCTTGAGGTAGTACTGCTCCAAAAGCTCTTTTCTAAGTGACGATACATTGCCCTGGTATAGGGCCATGGTTGAAGGTGGGAATACATATATACAAGTTTCTATTCAATTCTCTTCTTGCCCTCCTCGGCGTTGAGATATCTTGCGGTGCTCAAGCCACGCTCATGTCTTGCGACAAGACCGCCTATCACTGGATCTTTTCTAACTTTGCTGATTGTCTCCTGGTAGCCCTCCGCAACGTATGGTCGAGGGTTCAGCTTTGGCCAGTTTACCTATGCCTTTGTCAGCATGGGGGACGGATAACGAAAAATAGTAGATCGTATGAATTTCTTACATAAAGCATGCCGTTGCTCCGAATGAACTGGAAGCACCAGGCGGCCACGAAGAACCAGAACAAAATGAACAGCCGCATGGGCCAGACGGCCGCGTCGGGCAGGCGTCTTGAGGACATGCCCACAAACACCAAAAAGACGGCAAAGCCTAGGATGTAGGGGATGGACTGAATCAGAATAGGGCGGCGGTCAGCAAAAATGAGGCTCGAGCCGATGCTGGCTGTGCCGGGCGTGTAAACGCCGAGGAAGAGGTCGAAGGCGTCCTGCCTCGGGCCGTCAAGGAAGTTGTTGCGGAAATACCGGCTAACAGCAACCTTACCGTCTCCAAACGCTCCGGCCTTTGTGCGCGTGCCGAGTCGCGTGATATCTGTCTTCATTGCACCGGTTCCCGAGTAGCTTTTGCTGACGACATCGGCATTGTCAGCCCACAGGTTGCGGTACAGAAGCTCGAAAGCCGGGTCTTCCTCCTTGAAGGTGGTACCGCGTTGCATCAGACCGAGGTCGATGAACATGCGGTTCAGGGTCCACCGCGCCAGCATGCTTTGCACCACGTTGGTGCGGTCCAAGCAATCCATGCAGTTCGTGCGGACTACGGAAGTCTGGTGGTTCCGCACTTCCATGCGGCCGTCGATGCCGGCCGGCATATCGACAGCACGGAAGTACTGCTGCGCGACCAGAGCCTCCTCAAGCCTGTCGACAAGCAGTTGGGCGCGATGCATCTGCATGCCCTTGGTCTCGCTGTGGAAGTCAAAGTACACGTAATGAAGTCGATCGAAGGCCTGCTTGGACGCACCCGGCTCGATGGTGTGGAACTTCTCGTCTGTGAGCTGGTCGGCTTGGACTCGCTCCTTCGGTGCAGTGACCAGTTTCTCCACAATCTGCTCATACGCATCCTTCACTCTCTTTTCACGGCCCTTTTGATTCACTAGGTTGACAAGATAATTGTCCCCGTAGATGCGGATCTGCTCATTGAAGTGGGCCGCGGCTGCTGGGAAGGCGGCATCGATCCCCCGGATCTGCAGCTTCGGGGTGTAGTGCAGCGTATTGATCTCGGCCCAGTAGACAGGGACACTTCCTCTTGTCTGGACATAGGCCAGGATCTGCATCTCGCGCCCGTCCGAGCCACCCAGCTTGCCGCTCTGCATGTCCGCATTGCCTGCGAAACCACCAAGTCCGGAATCGCTATCATTCAGGATGACGACCTGCTCCGTCTCGTTGTAATTCGAAACATGCCCCTCGTCATCAATACCTCTTGAGAAGTATCTTGTTCCGCCCCGATGTCTCGATCGTCGAGTGATGAGCACAAGGGTCAACCGTGTCTTCTTGAACGTAGTCTTGTGAATCTCGAGCATTCCAAAAATGACGGGTAGAATGTATGCATCTACACTAGGCTGAGGTCCAGGGTGCCCTCGCCCGCCCCTGGTGCGGAACTCGATAAGATCGGTGGAGACAAACTTGTTCCAGAAGAAGCGATCGTCGGCCCTCTGCCACAGAGGCGTTGAGTTGCCATGCTGGGCCTGTCTCTGGAAGCTGTTCGTGAGGTCGATCGAGTAAGAGAAGTACATGGGGCCGGATCTAATGAAGGTCTTGAGCAAGAGGAGGAACCTATCCTCGTCGGGATCGTGGACCTGGCGCTCGCGCATGGGAAGTAGCTCGGTGGCGATGATCTTATAGACCATATGGCCCTTGAGGCGCTCGACGGGTTGGATCTTGGTAATGACAATGACATATTTATCTATGATTATCAGCTGCGAATGCGACAGCAGCCTTGTGTTGGGAGCATCTCACCAAGTCGTAGCTGGATGATACCCAAGATACCGGCGATGCTGGTCACCCGAGAGACGCGCTTTCCAGCGAGGGAGCTGCCATCTGTAAGCCGGATATCTCCAGTCGGCCGATCGATCGTCAAGGCTGGGGCGTTCGGGGAAGAGGGCGAGGTGAAGATGTAGCTATCCGAGGAGACCTGGACGTTGATGTCCCTGTATGGGAGAGCCATTGTGGCCAGTGAGAGGAGCAAGCACTAATTACAGGATGAAGGTATGTAATTAGGAGCTATACCATCTCCTCCCAGTTGAAGGTGAGGGGGGTTGATGTTGGGAATATTTGGTGATGGCGACCAAGAATGATATTATCCCCAGCATATGGGAGTTGATAATCCAACACGTAGCTCCTCAATGCTGAGATAACTAGGTACCGTAATCTGCAGCTGCAGCACCAAGCAACCAGCGCTTTCGTCACCGTGCACTGCCCCCAGAGCAGCATGCCATTCTCAAGCTACCGAGCTACCTGGCGAGCCGATGTACCTAGGTATCTTTTTTGCCAAGCGGCAGGCAGTTGGCGGGCCAGGTCTACCAGTGGCAGGCTCCCAGACGAGCCAGGCTTGTGATCTCGGTTCTCTGGGAACGCACAGACCAAGGCTAGCCTCATTAAGGAGATCTCGATCACGTGCACCCAATTTAGCTGGGCGACCAGACACAGACACTGGAAACTGCCCGCCACCTTGGCTGGCTGGCTGGCTGCACCCACTGTTCTTCACTGTCTTGTCCACTATTGCCGCTCCTGCACCGCCTGACGTGTGCAAGTGCTCAGCCCGGCCATTCACATCCTTTCAAGCTTCCCGCCGTCATTGCATTCATCGTCTTTCCCACTACTCAGTCCAGGCAGTCGAATTCCTAGCTTTCCCAACCAAACCAAGCCAGATCAACTGAAGCCACAACCCTTTCCTTCAAGAAGCCCTTTTGTCAACTTGTGCTCACCACCTGAATACCGACTCTATTTGCATCGTGATCGTCTCGGCTGGCTGTCACCCCCGAATCAGGCTTGCCTCGCGGTGATATCAATCATCGACTCCGGCATATCCTCCCGTCCACCACGACTCGGTCTCCCAACTTTCGCCCTATCCTCTAACAATGGCTGCTCGAGGCCCCCCTGGTGCCCGTGGCATGGGTAACCGCTTTGCGCAATTCAAGCTGGTATTGCTGGGTAGGCATCTCCATTATCATGGCTGGTTGTTGACGTTCCCTTGCTAATTACCACTACAGGAGAGTCCGCCGTCGGAAAGGTAGTCACTACATTCAGAAATCAACGCATTTGCGATAGCTAATCGTATTTAACAGAGCTCAATAGTGCTGCGGTTCGTAAAGGTAAATACGATCCCCAAGACTCCCGTATCTTGTTCAAGTTAACATGACTGCAGGACCAATTCGACTCCTACCGGGAATCGACGATCGGCGCTGCCTTCCTCACACAGACCATCTCCCTCGACGAGAACACTACAGTAAAGTTTGAGATCTGGGATACGGCGGGACAGGAGCGCTACAAGTCCCTGGCACCCATGTACTACCGAAACGCAAACTGCGCCGTTGTCGTTTATGATATCACACAAGCCGTATGTTATTCTTTGGACATTCGATCGATATGGACTTGGTTCTAACACGTTGGATGCAGTCTTCCCTGGATAAGGCCAAGGCATGGGTGAAGGAGCTTCAACGCCAAGCTAACGAGAACATCATCATCGCACTTGCCGGAAACAAGCTGGATCTCGTGACCGAACAACCCGATAAGCGTGCCATCCCTACCGCCGATGCTGAAGCGTATGCCCGGGAAGCCGGCCTGCTCTTCTTCGAAACCTCAGCAAAGACAGCCGAGAATGTCCGAGAGCTGTTTACGGCGATTGCCAAGAAGCTTCCCCTGGACCAGGTCGGCCCAAGACATGCTCGACCGGGCCAACGACCAGGCGTCAGCCTTGCCCCGGAGAACGCCAACACGAATGTCAGCGGCCCATGCGCCTGCTAGATCGACGAGCGGCTGGCGGATGGCAGAGAACGAGTACCATTGTGATGAAGAATGGTGTGCTTCTGAAGGGGGTCAGGGTGCGTGCTTACGAGTACATTATAGGAGGCGAGGCCGGGGTCATAGACTGGTCAGTCGTCTTCTCTTCACAGGGGCGGATCCTACAGAGAGAGGGGACGTCAACATATTACGGGAGTTTGTCTGGTAGGACGGTATTTGCTCCCACTTTAATACCTTGTTTTGAAGTGTTGTTACGCTTGGTTTTCACCCGACTGTGATAACCCTCCGTTTCCTGGTCTATCAAGGGCTGCATCGTTGGCGCGAAGTCTCAGCTCGCAGGCCTGACAGTTCTTCATATCTGATCGAGGACGGGGGCTTGATTTACTGGGCATCGTCTAGCATGTCGTGTTGTTGTTGTATAGTATGCAATAGAAAGGCAACAGCTCTGCAACCAAATGCTCCGTAATCATAATAATCAATGCTTGATGTCTAGTGTTAAATGCTTGTGATGATAATTGCGAGACTTCAATGATGCACTTGCTATCATTTCCAAGAACGAACTATGACGTCCCATAGGGGTGATCGCATAAAGGCATGTACGAAGAGTCCTCAATCTATGGGAGGGAAATACCTAAACAATCTGTATCATTGAGATATCTCGGATGGAATCAGACAGTAACTATCATAGAAAATGCATCTGTAGCCATTGTGGTAAAAATGACCGTTGAACAGTAATGAGGCCGTTTTGATGGTTCCTGGGACTGGAGGGCGGCGGCACCGGCATCCCTGCCAGCCGCAAGCCGCCGAACGTTTTCGCAGCTGCTTTGCCGAACTTTTTCCCTCACAGCTTTTTGGTGTCCACTCTGAACCGAACCACCACGACCACGCGCCCCCATCATCAACACACGACATTCTCACAGCGCCTTGCTGGCCAACGCGATCCCTCATGTTGCGGACTTCACTTCGATCCGTGAGGGGGCTTGGCGGCAAGCCTCTTGCTGCTGCCGCCGGCCGCCAATGGCACGGAGCAGTCGCCCGCCCAGCTGGCGTCATTGGCAAGGTACGCACGCACGACGATGGAAGCTCTGTTCAGCTCGTGTGACAGCTCCTCGGCACTCATACCCTTGACTTGCGATGAAGGTCACATTGCTGACACGAATTGGTCTCTTAGAGATTCTTTGCAGATGAGAAGAAGCCTGTGACAGACGCCCCGAAGCCGGCTACCATCCCAGCATCGGAAACCACGACCGCAGTCTCAAGCCAGCCCCCTCCACCCACGAACGAGGCTGCTGTTAAAGAGAAAACCATCCCAGCAGACAACGTGCCGCTCACACCTCCGGCTCCTGAGACGAATGTAGCACCTGCCAAGGTTGCCACTGAGACTACGACTCCTCCCCCTCCGCCGTCACCACCCGCCCCAAAGAAGGGTTTCTTCAGAAGGCTACGGAACTATGTCTTCACTCTAGTGCTCCTCGGTGCTGTCGCCTTTGGCGGTGGTGTCTGGTACTCCCGGATCAATGATAATTTCCATGACTTCTTTACCGAGTATATTCCGTTCGGCGAACAGGCTGTTCTGTATCTCGAAGAGATGGATTTCCGAAGGCGTTTCCCCAACATCGCTAACCGCGCTTCTGGCCGTCCCAGGGACACTGGAGCTGCCGTGAAGATCCCAGCACAGAGCGGAATGTCATGGAGGGTTGCCGACAGCGGAGAGCCGGCTGGCAGACAATCCAGCGCCGTCGACAAGACTGTTGCTGCCAAGTCTGCGGCGGCTTCTAAGCCCAAGGAGGCCGAGAAGTCTGCCCCGAAGGCACAGCCCAAGGCGGAGGCACCGAAACCTGCTACCCCTGAGCCGCCAAAGGCCCCAGTGGCTGCTCCTGTTCCGGTTCCCAAGGAGTCTGCACCGCCCCCGGCTGCGCTTGCTACGAAGAAGCAGGAGGATCCCGCCTTCAAGCCTCCTGAGGTCGATGAGCCGTCGCGATTCCCTCCCGCCTCGCCAATTGACCCACTCGCCGTCAACGATGCCTCCGAGCCTGTCGTGCAGGAACTTGTGCGCATGCTAAACGACATCATTGCTGTTGTCAATGCTGACAAGGCTAATGAGAAGTACGGCGCAACAATTGGCAAGGCGAAGGACCAGCTGAACAAGGTCGGCAAGCAGATCAGGGACATGAAGGCTGGCGTTGAGAAGGATGCCGCCAAGACGATCAAGGCTCGGGTGGACGACTTCGACAAGGCCGCCAATGAGCTTGTCTCGCGCGTCGAGTCTGCCATGGCTAGCCAGGAGACTCAATGGCGCAAGGAGTTTGAGGCTGAGATGGGCAGAATTAAGGAGAGTTACGACGAGCGGATAAAGACCATGACGGAGCGCGAGCAAAAGATCAACGAGGAGCGTCTGAACAACAAGCTGCTGGAGCAGGCTGTTGAGCTGAAGCGACAATTCGCCCAAGAGGTCAAGGACCGTGTTGAGAAGGAGCGCGATGGCAGACTTGGCAAACTAAACGACCTGTCCTCGGCTGTCTCCGACCTCGAGAAGCTCACTACGGGATGGAACGATGTCGTGGACACGAACCTCCGCACACAGCAGCTCCATGTTGCCGTCGATGCTGTCCGTGCTTCCCTCGAGGATGCCACACATGCACGGCCCTTTATCAAGGAGCTTGTAGCTTTGAAAGAGATTGCCAACGACGATGCCGTCGTCAACGCTGCCATCGCTTCTATCAACCCCTCTGCTTACCAAAAAGGCGTCCCAACTGCATCAGAGCTGATCGACCGGTTCCGGCGCGTTGCTACTGAGGTGCGCAAGGCATCTCTACTGCCTGATGATGCTGGCGTGGCAAGCCATGCTTCTAGCTTGATCCTGAGCAAGGTCCTCTTCAAGAAGCAGGGACTGGCGGCTGGTGATGACGTTGAGAGCATTCTGACCCGCACGCAAACGTTCCTAGAAGAAGGCAATCTGGATGCTGCGGCTCGTGAGATGAACGGCTTGACGGGATGGGCTAAAACTTTGAGCAGGGATTGGCTCGGCGAGGTCAGGAAGGTCCTGGAAGTTCAACAAGCTTTGGAGGTATGTTTATTCTCATTCACATCCGCCCTACTGCGGTTTGCTAACGTCTTCGCCAGGTCATCCAAACGGAGGCTAGATTACAGAGCTTGAAGGTGGAGTAGAATACGGCTGGATGCTTCCTTTTGTTCATGTATATCTGTACCTAGACGTGTCTAGAATACGGGCCGTTGGCTCAGTGTAAGAGTTAGCAAGTAATAGACATGAGCTGATGCAATGAAATTTGAGTATCAATAAGTCTGAACAGTGATGTGTGACATGGGTCTTTCAAATCAGCCGTAATCAAATCAATGATGTCGGTCGCCCGAGTTCGGTCAACTTGAAAAATTGTGGGGCAACGCCGAAGGTCAAAGATTGAGTTGCCGCATATGCAGAAGCTCACTCACACCTTCAACCGCATTTCAAGAAGCTATGGCGGCTGGATGACTGGGGCCTTTTGCGATGCAGTATGTGTTTCGTAGGCTCGTATCATTCTCATTGCCATCTGTAAATAGACCTAGACGGCTCCAACGAACTATGGCAACGTCATCGAGAACATATAATGTAAGTTTTACCTCAATGGGATATATAGAAACCACCGTCACTAACGAGACGAACCAGGACGCCATCGATGCGCTCAATTCACTCCAGACGCCTTTTGCCGTCATTGAGGCCAGGCGGAAGGCTGGTATACGTCCAGATGCCACCTCTATCAAAGAGATGCGAGCCTACCTTGCGCGTCTTGGCTATTCAGTAAGACCTCAGTCCCTGAGCATCGTTCCGGACTGCTAACATGCTGATAGTCACAAGACTTGGACCGACTGAACATCGTTCACGTAGCCGGAACTAAAGGCAAGGGCAGCACATGCGCCTTCGTGGACTCTATGCTCGCTCACTACCGCAAGGCGCACGGTGTGCCAGGCAAGGTCGGCCTGCTCATCTCGCCGCACCTGATCGCGGTGCGCGAGCGCATCCGCATCAACTCGGCGCCCATCTCCGAGGCGCTGTTCGCAAAGTACTTCTTCGACGTGTGGGACCGGCTCGAGGCGTCGCGCGCCGCAGAGGGGGACGTCGAGCTCGGCAGCAAGCCCATCTACGCGCGCTACCTGACGCTCCTGAGCTACCATGTCTTCCTGCAGGAGGGCGTCGACTGTGCCGTGTACGAGACGGGCGTCGGCGGCGAGTACGATGCCACCAATGTCGTGGACCGGCCCGTCGCGACGGGCATCGCGACGCTGGGCATCGACCATGTCTTTGTTCTGGGCGACACGGTGGAGAAGATTGCGTGGCACAAGGCCGGAATCATGAAGGCAGGCAGTCCCGCGTTTGCGGTGCAGCAGGTTCCTGGTGCGGAGCAGGTATTGAAGGACCGGGCGGTGGAGAAGGGTGTTGATTTGAAGATTGTTGGCGTTGATCCGCGGCTCAAGGGGGTCAATATTCGACCGGATGCGCTGTTTCAGAAAAGGAATGCGTCGCTGGCTATTGCGCTGGCGGAAGCAGCAGTCAAGAAGCTTGATCCTAACTTTGAGCCTGATCCGTCTACTTTATCGGAAGAGTTCGTTGATGGACTAGAAACTGTAGTATGGCGAGGACGATGTGAAGTGAAGGTCGAGGGGAAGATAGTGTGGCATGCTGACGGCGCTCACACGACGGATAGCTTGAAGATGGCTGGCCGGTGGTTTGCTGATGAGAGCTCCAAGAGGTAAGACTATTGGGAAGTTGCGAACATAGCAGAACACTAACTGGGGTAGATCTGGGCCGAGAGTCCTCATCTTCAACCAACAGGGCCGTACAGAGGCCATCGACTTTTTAGATGGCTTACATACTGCAGCGAAGAGGGAAGATGGATCAGCCTTTGACCATGTGGTGTTCTGCACGAACGTCACATATGCGCAGTCTGGCTATAAAAGAGGTAAAAAGATCACGTACACTGCGGTGCAACGCTGAGCTAACAACGCATAGACTTCGTCAATTATCAATATGATCCTGAGGCCATCAAGCGTCTAACCGTGCAACGGGCGTTCGCAGAGAAGTGGTCAACTCTGGATCCCAAGGCTGTTATCACAGTCCTGCCAAGCATTGAAGAGGCCATCAATTATGCTCGAAGTCTCGAGAAGGGCCTAAAGGAGGACGAAACAATTCAGGCTTTTATTACAGGCAGTTTGCACCTCGTGGGAGGTGCACTGGGTATCTTGGAGGGAGCAGATGCCCTGTGATCATGATTCTATGGTACAGATAATCTTCGTAATCGGCGTACATACAGATAGAGGTGCTCAACGCACACGCACACACCATTATACCCAATTTTAAGGTTCATCACCGGGATCTAATATCTGTAGGACGGGCCCTACCAGATGGAAGCTTCCTGTGACTAATATTTGTACCCTGGCATGTTTCTTGTTGATGTGTGTCGCCGCGATGCTCTTCGCCATGTCGACAGCCGTTGATATGCTATCGGCTGGCGTAGCTGTTGTGTACGGGCAAAAGTCCCTGATCACCTTGCAATTCCTCCTCTGAACGGTAAGATCGCGAGGGGGCTCGAATATGTCGACGACTGGAGGGTCGTTCCTTGGACAATATGCGTAGTTGAAGATCTTGTTGTTTGCAAACTTCGCTTCCTTCTGTATACTTTCCAATAGAGTTCGAAGGAGGGCCTCAGAGTCTCGATCCTGTTGATTGAAAATCAAGATGCGAACTGTTTCTGCCTTTGTCATAATTTTCGTTGAGAACCACTCGCCAACCTGAGCTAGACTGTCGGCGGTATGCGCTCCGTCCAGGTACCACTGAATTCCATCCTTCACCACGGTCTCACATCGACCTCTTAGAGTTGCAGTAGTTAGCCCTTCCCTAAACTCTTCAGGCATTGACTGTAGGCTGTAGTTGTTGCCCCCGAAATCTCCCTCGAATGTGTGCCCAAGTCTCATGAAGTGTTCCCGTGCAATGGCCACTGCAAGAGCCATGTTATATTTCTGAAAGGCGCCCTCAAGTTTTGCACCGGGCACACCTTCCCATTTCTCAACAGACTCGTCACTGATATCTGTTAAGATGGCACCCTTTTCCTCAGCTCTGTCTCGCAGCACCTTCATAACACTCTCTTGGCTTGACAAACGACGTGTCAAAGCCGGAACGCCGCGCTTGAATATCCCGGCTTTGTTCCAGGCAATCTTCTCCACTGTATCGCCTAGCATCCCTACGTGATCGATGCCGAGCTGTGTTATGGCAGAGACGGTGACTGCCTCGGCAGGGAGAACATTCGTAGAGTCATACTCCCCACCGATCCCGCACTCAATAACAGCTGATCTCACTCCTTCACTAAGGAAAACATGGAATGCCATGATAGTCAAGAAACGGAAGTAGAACGGCTTCGTAGTCGGGCCATCCAGGCCCAACTCATCTCCATCCGGGGCCGCTTCACCGGCCTGCCGAGCAGCATCTGATAGACGATTCCACACTTCAAAGAAGTACCGGGTGAATAGGGCCCGGTTGATAGGCTGCCCGTCGATCAGGATGCGCTCGCGCACGGAGACCAGATGTGGAGACGTGTACAGACCGACCCGGCCGGCGATGTCCGGGTACCGGCCGAGGACGGAGGAGACGAGGACACTAACTGAGCCCTTGCCCTTGGTTCCCGCGACATGTATACAGCGCAGGCGGGCCAAGTCAGCGGGGACGTAACCGGCCCGCTTCAGCCAGGCGACGACCTCCGGGATGGCACGGGCATTGAGATCGGCGGTAGCGGCCGGCTCACCGGCGAAGAGGTTGACGACGGACTTGTTGGATTGAAGAAGAGAAAGTAGGTGTAGTGCATTGTCATAAGTTGGTGTGAGTCGTGAAGAGGCTGAGGGAGGATCTGAAGAGGAGGCTGTTGGTGACGATGACGATGCCATCCTGAATGTCTGCCGTACCACTAAGCACGACGTTGTTTGGGGACAGAATAGCGATACTGTTTGTGCGAAGACGAATCGTCTTGTCTTTAGACGGGACGCAAGACGTAGGGCAGCCCTCATGCATGAGGTATTTGGCGCAAGGACTCTAGACATACGGCCGAAATCCCGTAGTAATCAAGGCAGAGGCAGGCAAGGTCTGGCCCGTCTCATTGCTGGCATGCTGAAGCGAACTAACTGCTGCGCGCCGGGTTCCTTGGTAACGAATGCGAATGCCTGCTCGGGGGCAGCCAGATAGCCCCTTCGCTTAGGATATACTGCGTAGGGAGGAGTATGGCCTCCTTGTGGGATAGTGGGATGTGGGAGGCAGAGTTGCACCGGGACGATGCAGGAGGCAGCGTGGGAAGCGTGGCAGGTGCAGAGCGCAGAGCGCAGAGTGCAGAGTGCAGCACCGCGGATCGTGGTCCGGCGTAAGGTGTCCAATCGAGTCTGCTTCCTGTTCCCTGGGACTCTTCTAATACCTGCAGGTAAATGGAGCCTTTTCCTCTCTCAATCGGCCGTTCTCGGTCTCCTAGATGAGTCGTGTGGTTGCAGGTTGGTAATGAACGTTGGTTAGAATGGGGGTTTGATAAGTTGTCTACCTGTTTATTACCCCTCCATGCCATTCAATCCCCCTCAGTGGGATGAATGGTCGATGTTAGTGGGAAGTCTAGTGGATAATGGTGCTTGGGTACATGTACATGTACGGTCGTGCCTTCCCTGACTGCGCTTTCAGGCGTTTGCGTACAGCATAGACTCTTCACAACTGAGTTAGTTGCTTAAGTCTCTTTGGGAACTTGAAATCCCATCTAGAGCAGGCAGAGTCATCCCAATGACAATTGTTGTTGGGAGAAAATATCCCTTATGCAGCTTGCTCGCTTCAGTGAAACACCTGTAATTGTCATTTATCATTTCTGAGCAGTGGCTGCCCCCGCTTGTTCCTCTACGCTACGGAGGCGCCTCATGCTTCCCGCGCCGCCTACTGCCTTCGGGGAGCCCATTCTACCTTCCATGATTTGTTTTACGATTTGTGAGCTGTATCTCATTACGCAGCAGTCAAAATTTCTGTAGTTTCGCGGAATGGTGGTTGCTCGGAAAAGGCGCCGGGAACTACCCTTACTAGAGGCTCAATTTCCTGGACGGATTCTAGACTCCTGAGGGCTATCCCACTGAAAAGTTTAGATACAAGACCGAAAGTTTAATGGATAGGTGGTTTGGAGCGGCTAGAGTTACTCTGTGTGTGTGGAGCACTAACAAAATCTGCAAAGCTCCGCCCACCGCCACCGTCGGAAAACTCTGCTTAATTCCAATTAAAACAGCAATTCTACATCGAAGGCAAGATGGCCGAGCGGTCTAAGGCGCTGTGTTCAGGCATTTAGAGCTTCATTGATCTAATTCTTGAATTCGCAGTCCGAAAGGGCGTGGGTTCGAATCCCACTCTTGTCATGATCTCTTTTTTTTGTCAATCTTGTCTCATTTTTGCATTCATACAGGTCCCTAGTTGTCATTTTTTTAGTGTTTCTAATTGCCCTCGATCTACTGATCACAATGGACCATAAAAAGCGTAACGTTGGCCGCGTCTGAACAAGCAAATGTCGCGTGGCTCCCCCGGGTTGCATTCTAAGACAGCCTCCTGAGACTCACCCATTTCTCAACGAACACTAACTGTATTACTCTCAATCAAATCGTCCGAGAATTGCAAGATCAGATATTATATTGGGCGCTTCATCTTGGGGTGTATGATGTTGAAACTTCAGCTGTGGTGAGCCGCATATGCTTCGCTCCGCAGCTCGCCTCTGGCACCAACATTTCGACCATGCTTCTACATTCAGAGTTGAAAGCCGCCATACCGTCGAGACCCGCGGGAAGCCCTTGCCACTGCCTTGAGCTCTTGTGCAATTTCTATCAATATGTCTGATGAAGCAATGTCTATGCATGCGAGATACACCAGCATCCCCCAAGCATTGCATCGATGACCCGAGTCCCAAGAATAGCCCCGCCTTTCTCGCTCCCATATTACCAACACGGGTCTATGCTGTCATGAAAGGCCTGATGACGGCGGTATAGTTCTAGTGGACATATGTGTCATTGTAGGTAGGATGGACTGGAACAGGAGCACCATAAATGTCTTCCTCTTCGTCGTATGGTATCGACACATTTGTCATTGTTCGACACTTCCATGCTATCTAATTGCAAGGATAGTTGGCCGTATCGCGATAATTAGCCCAGTTATCTGCAGCTTCACTGACGGAACAGAATGGGTTGCTGAAAACACCAGCAGCCTGGACGCTGTTATCGCCAACATCAGCAACTGCATTCCAGTTCGACAAATCGACGCTGTCCCAACCGTTTGAGTTACCATTGGCAGTATACGCATTGAGAGAACTACTCCTGATGTTAGCTGTGTGAAACTGAATGGAGATGTGACATTACCTAAGAAGTAGATCTTTCTTAGTCAAGCCACCAAAGTTCGTTCCATCGATCTTGCTGATACTTGGGAAAGCAGTGATTGAACCCTTTCCATTACAAGTTCCATATCTAGGCGAGTCACGGATGTCGCACTCCCGGCCAACGTAGACAAGCCAGTACGGCGTATCAGCCGCATCGTCGCAAATGAACGCAGATTCGGTATTCTCGAAGGTCAGTCCCTTGAATCTCTCATTCGCGGCCTCGACAGCGCCATCGCATGAAGTGATGTCCGAAAAGTCACTGGCCAATCTTGTTCCCGTCATCCAGAAGGAACCCACACCGGAGCTTGCCCCTTCCATCCAGGCTACAGGAAGCGTCATAACCACGAGTGCTTTGTAGAAATTTTTGGTCTCCTCTGAAGGGCTGGTGGCACTCCAGACACCACCAGAGATCAGCCCGTTGAGCGTGGTTGTGTCTTCACCACTGAAAAGCAAGTGCGCATTGGAAACGAGTGCCTCTTGCATATCTATAAGAGGCGTTATCAATCTCAGTCAAATCAAATGTAATAGAGTGTTTGGTATCAAGAGCGGAATCAAAATGCAATTGCGGAACTCACCTGTTCCCATGGTTGTTGCCAAGGCTTGGAAAGCGAGACTGGTTCCAATACCCTTAGTACTACACAAAGATATTTTAATACTGAGAACCTGTCGGTGCGTGAATAATCTGTTGGAGAAGGACTTACGTGGATAGGGAATTTTTGATCATTGTCAAGCTGCTCGAAACCATGGCGCTCATAGAATCTTTCAGTGTTCCTGCTGTATTTCCGAAGTTCTTGAATGCGTCTCCCATCATCTTCTTCAACCCTACGTGAATTCCAATGTCAGTAATGATAATGATGCGAGGAACAACGATTAACATGAGAGAAGCTCACATGAGTTCCAAAACGGTGCGGCAACAAGACCATAGATCAAGCCCACGGCGTCAAGGGTCAATTTGAGCTCCTTGGAGTTTGTAAGATCGACAAAAGCTTCGACAACCTCTGTTGTCATACCATTATAGTCAACAACGGCATCCTGAATGGAATTGCACAGCTCATCTATCATGGCGTGAATGTTGGCGATTGAGTTTATGATCATGTAGCTATACAACGTAGATCTGTCAGTGACTCGATTTCTGGAAAAGGATTCATGAAGAGCTTACCCTGCTGGGCTGGAAACACCGGTAGCACCGCCCGAGGACTGATCGTCACATTGTACAATCGAGTCGCAATTGTCGTCTGGAACATACTCGCATAATCTGTTCGATGTTGCTACGTGACTGTTAGCTATCCTGTTCAAAGATGTGTAGTCAAGGGCATTTTATTTACCATGAACGCGATCAGCAATGATTTGCGAGAACTGAAAACCGTTGTAGGTTGTGCTGCTGTCAGTCTTTTCAATAGTCGCGCTGGATTTGTAGGCCTCAAAGTAACTGAACAGGGCAGTCCATGCTTCTTCCGCGTCTGCGTCTACCCATCGCTCATATGCCGGGTTTAGATCACTCGTCAGCGAACCATAACTGCAATCAATGGAAGACCACGGTCCGGTCGTCGCATGTCCGCTGGGATCCAGACCAGTGTAACATATGTCAAGAGGGCAGTACCCGTAAGTGCAGGAGAACTTACACATATCCACTATGTAACTTTGGTCAGAGTATTGCTGGGCTGCCGAGGTGTCTGACGTCTCAGACGCGGCAGGTAAGTCGACAAGGGCTCCCCTTGCCGTGCATGTGCAAATGTGTATGAGGCCTAATCACGAACCTTAGCATGTGTCTGGTGCAAACAGGGACGAGGTTATTTAGAGCACTTACACCAGCCATAGTTGCAAGTAAAGCTGCAGAGTGCGTCGATGCCAGACCCAACGACTGCCCCGTTAGAACGACCTTCTGTACAGGCATCTGGTAAGAATGGAGACACCGTGGGAGTCGTCAATGTTATTTCTGTTGAACTGCAATATGGAGATACGGCGCCATTGTCTTTGAAGCCATATATGTAAGCCCAACTGCACAGACCGATATATTTAGTGTCGATTTTCGAGTAGCCCGAAAGACTAGTTGTATCCGGTAGCTTCTTCTGGAGACCTAATTCGGTGCAGACACATGCTGATGCGGCCTTCGTAAGCAAACCAAGCAGTTATATATTGTATTTGGGCGCTCACCTGTAATGGGGCAGTATCCGTAAGAACAAGTGAGGCCACATATGGCAGCGAAACCATCCGCTCCTGTGCCCTGTGTACAGATCAATTCGTCCAAGTCTGGAGACGTGGTTCCGGAGACGGAGGTCTGAGCATATGCCGACCCGACTGTAGGATTGAAATTGGCGTAGCCATCCTCTGTGCATCCGCCAATGGAAGGACCTTCAATGACAGCGATAGATGATCCTTGTCTTTTTAATGTGACAACAGCATCGCCAGTCTGCGTGCCGATGTATGTATATCCATGAAAGACACCAATATCATTGACAGGAGTATAAATAAAACCCGATCGGCAGCGCTTGATAGACCCTCAAACGTAGAAACAAAGGGCTTGCCATCGCGCTTGAAATGAGCATTGTTTCCTCCATACTGTTGTATCAAAGCAGTGATGTCTGATTTGGCCCAAGCACCATTGCCAGCATAGTCAAATGAGAAGAACAGTTGAAAACTCCCATGGTCTTGGGCAGCAGCGAAAGCAATGGCTATTTGTTCATCGTTGGTCGAACTACCCGCAGCGATATTGAGTGCAAAAGCGTCGATTCCCATAGTATAGGCAAGTATCATATGGGTTTTCCAGGTAGAGGTTGTGTAGTCTTGTGCATTGTCCACCTGGTCGTCACATAATTATTAGATCTCATACTTTCTCATCGATGGGGCAATTTTCCAGCGTTGGCGTGAGCTACAAACCATAAAGTGAGTAAATACTGCTTTTGCCGCCACATGACTACAACAGAAAAGCAGCAACAAGGTCACTGCTGAGAAATAAGATAGCCACATGATAACCAACCGAGCTAGCAATGGAGCTGCGCCCAAAGAATAACTAGAGAGAGTAGATGACACAACATGAACACATCATATAGGTGTACGACACGATCTACAAATATATAGTTGGCATGACCTCTTCGACTTCTGAAATATTACTATAGCTCCACAGTCACTGTAACTCACATTCTGTGATCTCGTACATAGTACCGGATTCATGAATGTCATTCGATGAGAATATCCACTACCTATAGATGTTTGATCTACTACGAGACGTAAACACAAACCACCTAGAGTAAGGATCGCATTGATTCCTAGGGAGAAAGACAAGAAGCGGAGTGCTTGGTGTGCTAGTAGGTAACTGTAGATAGTAGGGGTGCTGGCTGGTCCTTCAGTGTATGACAATAGGTGTATATCGAAATGGTATCTGAAGGGATAGTAAGATGTTTTTTTCATCTATTTTAAGAGCTGTTCGGAGGCAGTACTTGAGTAGGTTTTTATGTGCACGTAGCTTGTTAAACATGTCGTAGGCAGAAAAAAGGTTAGATATAAATCAATATAAGAATGACATGGAAGAGAAGTGAAAAGAGAAAAAAAAAAAGATCGCCTATAGGAGTGACCCGGGATCGATCCGGGGACCTTAAGATCTGCAATCTCACGTCTAGAAGGAGGAGAAGTATTAGAAAATTTTGCTTTTTTAGGATACCACCTTCCTAGAAAGGTGGGGAAAGGAATTTCGAGGCCACTCACTCTACCACTGAACTACCACTCCGTTTTCTGATGGGGATTTAAATGCTTCTTATAAAACTTGGGACCAGCCACCTAATAGTGATTACCGGTGATTACCTAATTGGAGGATTTCGCGTTACCGCTCAAATGGCGGCATTCAAAGCTCGGCAGCCTTAAGATACGATTCTAGATATCTTAGTGTTGCAACCCGTGACACTCTAAACTTAAATTTTGTACGGCTTGCCAACCTGGTAGCCTCCGCTGCTGCCAGCTGCCCTTAGCTCCTTAGGCTTGTTATACCCCTAATCACTACGAAGATATACCTACCGCTCGTTATAGCTGTCTTGCAGGCTATGAACAATTTCTCTCCTTCCGAGGTACCTCCCTTCCCATCAATTAGGCAGTTGGTTCGCGATCTTGAGGGATTGAGTATGGTCAGGTGCGCGATACGACGATTGAAGGATTTGAGCTGTGTAATTGCTTGTGTGCGGGTGATTTAGATCGAATGTAGGTCTGTAGGCGATTGTGGTCTGTGTGTGGCGGCAGTATCGATGAACGGTCAGTAGCACCGTACTGGCCATTATGGTCGACTGGCATCTGCATCTGCGAAACGTTGGGGACTTAGAGTTTCTGGAGTGAGGGCAGTTGGGCTTGAGTTCCGTCGAATTCCCATGACCTGTGGTAGTAACTTAACATAGATGCATAGCTGCACCTTTGCCATGGTCGTGTTGTGAGCCAACAGATACCCGCCAGTTGTCAGTGCTGCTCTGCGGTGGGAGCGCTTCAAAATTCGGCTTCGAGCCGCTAGAACGCACGTAGACATCGTACATGAGGATGAGTTCAAGAGGACGGTTTACTGTATTGTCCATCATTGTGAAATACGGCACTGGGTAAGATATCGGTTTATGGAAAAAGTTGAGGGATCTTATGGATCTACTCTAGAATCAATACTCTCAAATAAATAGACACAGTTAGAAAAGCCACATCATGCTGGTTGTATATAATAATAGTAGCCGATATCTTTGGAGGCACGTCTTCTTGGCGCTGGAGCAGATCTAGAGTAAGGGGATAGCGATTATACTGGACTTGCCTGGGGTTACGTAGTCGGTTCAGCTTTGGTGAGGCTCAATGAAGTCTAAACTAAGTAAGTGCAGGTGGTCGGTATCTCGGAGATGCCTCCTCTAACCCTCAAAGTTTGGGGCGTTTGACAATCTCAGACGCCGTGTTTAGGATGTCTCTGCACTCATACTACCAAGCCACCCCAACACCTACAAGCAACAAATTCCTCATTGCCAGACACTTCACCTAGTACTGGGCGGCACCCCTATCATAACCTCAGATCGAGAAATTATTCATTGATGGGGCTGGCTGTACCTTGTTACCCGCCTTCACCGACTGCCACATCAAGCGCTCTCCAGCATCGAACCAGTGCAGTCTGGCATCCCAGTGGCACCAGAAATGCATACTGATCATGTGGGCCATTGACTGAGCGGTTCACCAACACGCCAAAACAGCTTCCAACAGTTTATTTTCTGCCAACGGCGGCTCGTAAATGCCAGATCCACCCGATCTTGAAGCTCAGCATGCGCAGATTCGGCCCAATTTGCCAGGCCCTGATTCAAGACTGCAGGGCGAGATGCGGGTGTTGCAGATCCAGATACAACATTAGGAATTGAGGCAGAGGGATAGCTTTGCAATCGGGGATACTCGCAGCTGCAGCTGGCATAATATTCGCAATTGCTGGAGGAGCATGTAATATGTCTCTCGATTCGCTCTAGAGGGCTTGATATTGGCGCTCGCAGCGGAATACATGATCCAAACGGAGTCATGCTCGACATGCGATCTGTCGACCCCCTTAGTGTCAACGGCCTCTGGTAGACGTCATCCTCTGGTCGACATTTCACTTTTGGTCGTTCGTCAAGGCCATACCAGTAGTGAAGATACCATGGCGGTGGATGTTATCCAACAGTACTGCCTGGGCCTTTGGATGGCCGCGCCTGTCATTGCGGGCTAGACATGTCATTAAAGGCAGCGGCGAACGCTGAAGCGGCATTGAGACTGGTGTAATCGGCTGTCTACAAGTCCTGGTGCTTAGCACCGGCCGGTGCCTGGATGCCGATGAGGCTGTACAGTACAGGCTTGTGCATCACCCGTATCACGCAGAAGTTATGGTCCAGGCGGTGGGGGTGACGGTGGGAATCTGAAGGACCGAAAAGATCAGGTGAAGCTAGACGCAAAGTCATCTGGTTGCGCACGAGTTCGTGCTGCCTGACAAACAGACATTGCCCGGGTAAAGAGCTGGATAAATTAAGGATTGGCATTCAGCGGGAAGGTGAACAGGAGAACATGTGCTTGCCGGAGTAGACAAGCTAGTCCCAGACCACAGGGTCGGGATCTAGAAGGGCGATCTGGAAAGAAGCGGGTTCGGCCGCGATGGGATGGGATGGATTGGGATGGATTGGGATGGATTGCGTGACCTAAAAACGACAGTCCGCGACCGACAGACGATTCGGCTACGGTGCAAGACACGCTGGGCAGTACATGCATGCACCATGTATCAATCGCTCATTCAATCATTGAATCAATCAATCGACCGTCGTCTACCGTGTCTGCGGGCGATAATATGTGACGTGCGCTCCTGCAGCCAGCGAGTGGCATAGTATTTAGATGTTATGACTGCTGGTTGACGATTCCGTCCCAATCGGAATGTAGTCAATTGCCGCTGGTATAAAAGCGATGAAAGCTGATATTGTAGCCTTGAGGAGCTCTGGAGGAGCTCCACGCGGCAGTCGAACTCAACCGTAACCGGGTTATGGCCCTTGCCTTGGCTTGATGCATCTCCATGCAGCCATTGTCTGTTATGGGAATGTCGAGGACTCGATCTGCCAGATAAATCCAGGCTCGTCTCGTGTGATCTGTCGTGTACTGTCATGTAAGTGCTTAGGCCGAATCAACGAGATATCCCCGGGGCTGTCTCAACACCAACACCGCCAGCCATCTGAGAAGTTATTTCTGGCATCGACAACAATGTCTCCGTCAGACCATGAGACTCTTCCACTCTCCTCGACTCGTCTTTAGCCTCAAGCGTAGCTCGTGTCCAGTAGGCGCGCCTAAAGAGATCAGGAAGAGACGGTCTGGGTACGCTGGTATCGTGGCCGAACAAACCGATTTCCCTCTCCTGCCCCAGTTTCCCCAGTTTTCCATTTCATGACAGTAGCTTCAAGAAAAAAATCTCGGCGCCTCAGCTGATGATGCGCTGCGGTTCCTGACCTTCAGCGGTGTCTCTAGGGTCTGTAGGGGATCCACCGACTACCGAGAGGCTACGGTGCCGTGTGGAGCGGTGATTGGCGCGGGTAAATGCGTTGGGTAAAGTCGAGGTTGTGGAAATGCAGCAGAAATGCATCGAGAAGCGTGATTCTAGATCTTCCCGAGCATTGGCGTAACGTTAAGTGCTCGCAGTGGGGGAAATGCCATGCCAGGGAGCTATGACAGCGGTGTTGCTGCATTGCGCTTAACGGGCATAAGGCGCTTTTGGCGGTCTCTTGCTGCATCGAGATACATGCGCCTGCTAAGGACGATGAGCTCCCCGCATTGATCTGCCTGCCAATGCCTTAACGCTGCACAAGTCAATTCAAGTATAGGATGGTGCATGGTGCATGGAGGTAGTTTGAGAGGGTGAGAAAAGTCCGTTGAACTGGGCTCTGGGGGGAGAGAGAGAGAGAAGAGCAGAGAAAGACAGACCCTTTTCCAACTGCTGCTTTTGGTGGTTCTGGGCTGCTGTGTCTCTGGGCGCGCCGTCACTCCCCGCAGCAGAGTGGCCCTTGACGACAGCGTCCGACAAGCGGCGAGCCAACGGGGGGGGAGCTCCTATTTAGACCTCTGCCCAAGCTCGCAGCTCTCTGACCCCCTCGAGCTCCTCCTCTTCCTTCTCTTCCCTCTCTCCATTCTTAAACTTCTTGAGATCTTCATAAATCTTAGATAAACGGGTCTTTTCTTTGCTGGTGATAGTTGCTTATTACTGTTCAAGTGGATCGCAAAGACAGCTCTAGATACCCCACATTCTACATTCTACTGCATAGTACACTTGCATACCTTACTTCATATACACACTCCTCACTCTTACTCGCGCAAGGTCTGATCTACACCCCGATCTGAAGCTCTCAACGCCATTGATTCCTCTATTGCGACCAATAAGCCTTCGAGCTTCATTCAATCCTTCTAGATCTTCCTATCTCCTCTGCTAAGAGCGTACTCTCTCCCACCAGTCACAATGGGTTCGCAGTCGGTAAGCGAAGAACCCCTCTAATGCCCCTCCATCGCAGGAATTACACGAATAGCTCCACTAACACGGTCTTCCCCCTCCAAAAAGAACCTCTCCTTCATCCTCAACAAACCACACGATGTCACATACAGCGAGCGACCGCTGCCCAAGCTGAAGACGCCACATGATGTTCTCGTCGCCGTCAACTGGACGGGTATCTGCGGCTCCGACGTCCACTACTGGGAGCATGGCGCCATCGGCCACTTCGTCGTCAAGGACCCCATGGTCTTGGGCCACGAGTCCGCCGGCACCGTCGTCGAGGTCGGCGAGGGCGTCAAGGACCTGAAGGTCGGAGACCGCGTCGCCCTCGAGCCCGGCTACCCCTGCCGCCGCTGCATCCCCTGCCTGTCCGGCCACTACAACCTGTGCCCGGACATGCAGTTCGCCGCCACGCCCCCCTACGACGGCACCCTCGCCGGCTTCTGGGCCGCGCCCTCGGACTTCTGCTACAAGCTGCCCGAGAGCGTGAGCCTGCAGGAGGGCGCGCTGATCGAGCCCCTCGCCGTCGCCGTCCACATCGTCCGCCAGGCGGCCATCACGCCCGGCCAGTCCGTCGTCGTCATGGGCGCCGGCCCTGTCGGCCTGCTGTGCGCGGCCGTCGCCGGCTCCTTCGGCGCCACCACCGTCGCCTCGGTCGACATCGTGCCCTCCAAGCTCGAGTTCGCCAAGTCCTTCTGCTCCACGCACACGTACGTCTCCCAGCGCGTCTCCGCCGAGGAGAACGCCGCCAACATCCTGCGCGAGATCGGCCTGCCCGCCGGCGCCGACGTCGTCATCGACGCCAGCGGCGCCGAGCCCTCCATCCAGACCAGCCTGCACGTCGTGCGCATGGGCGGCACCTACGTCCAGGGCGGCATGGGCAAGGCCGACATCAACTTCCCCATCATGGCCCTGTGCCTCAAGGAGGTCACCGCCAAGGGCTCCTTCCGCTACGGCAGCGGCGACTACAAGCTCGCCGTCGAGCTCGTCGCCTCCGGCAAGGTCGACGTCAAGAGGCTGATCAGCGGCACCGTCGCCTTCGGCCAGGCCGAGGAGGCCTTCAAGAAGGTCAAGGAGGGCCAGGTCATCAAGGTCCTGATCGCCGGCCCCAACGAGAAGGTCGAGGGCACCCTGGCTGTGTAAGAGATGCGTGCCGGCTGTTGTAATTGAACGTCAAGAATGGAAGATGGGGGCGTCGGAGGCGAGTTGTTCTGGGCATGGGATGACATGAAAACGGGTTGAGAATTTATCGAATAATGTAAACAGGCGCTGACAAGGACTTCATATGTGATTGCACGAGGGCTGGATGTGGTTGTATGTGGTTGTATGTGATGAGTCTATTGAGTATGTATAGATCTGCTCATGAAATCTAATATTGGAAAAAAGGCTCTTCTCACTCCCTAATCATGCAAAAAGTCCTGAATTGGTCGGATATTTACTCTGATTGAGATGGCTCTTTCAGTTGAGCATTCCCAAGTACCTCGTCGTGATAACTGAAGAGCTGCTTGCCCCTGTAACACCAATTTTCACGACTTCTCCCGGCACAATATCAACCAGGTTGTCGTCGAACTTCACCTTGTCATCCACACATTCCACTGCGACGCCCTTCACGGGAAACTCTGCGCTGACCTCCACAAACTTGCCATCACTCGATAGTTCCGCCTTCAACTGCTTCGGCTTTTGCAGGTGAAGATACTTAAGGGGCTCCGGCCAGTTAACGTATCGCGCAATTTGCTTCCCGTTCTGGATGAAGTAAGTCGCCACAACGGTTCTCGCTTCATCTCCCGCTTTGTCGACAGGCACATCCATCGCAACGACTTCAGTCGATCTGTTCTCCGGGAGTAGTAGCCCCTCAGCTACCGTTTTCGAGAACGTCTCCTTGCCAGTCTCGACATCCCACGCCTTCAACACGCAGTCAACCGTCAGATCCTCCAGCGTCAAATTGCTGCCCCAGACCTCAATCTGCGTCTTGACCTCAATGTTGACGCGCGTGTACTTGTCCTTGGGGTGCCTGTGCTCGCGCCTGGTCATGCCGATGCTGAGAGGCGCCATCTCGCGCTTGACGGTGAAGTAGGCGTGCTTGGGACGCAGGTAGTAGTCGCAGATGCTCCACGAGGTGACCGGCCAGCAGTCGTTGATCTGCCAGACCAGCGTGCCGCCGCAGTACTCGCGCCCGGGGCCCTTCCACTGCCGCTTCCACAGCCGGTACGCGCTCGCCAGCGCCTCGGCTTGCATCAGCTGCGTGCTATACACGAACTGCTCTAGCGGGTCTGGCGCGTACCGCATGTTCTCCACCAGGTAGAGTGCAATCCGCCGCTCGTGCCCGTCCGCCTTGTTGTGGAAGTCCATCGTCGAGCTCTGCGGGTACCGGTCTGGGTCGTCCTTGCCCAGGGGCAGGAAAGCGTCGATCGTCTTGACGGAGGGGAACGCTTCCATGCCGAACTCTGATACGAAGCGGCCGACTAGCTTGTCAAAGTTTTGATATTTCTCCTGAGTACCGTGCCATACGTTCCACTGGTGGATGTCGCCCACCGTTGGATCCCGCGTGTCAACTCCTTTGCCCCAGGGGCTGCCGAAGTGGTAGTAAGTTCCAGGGATTAGCTCCTTGCAGACATCGTCCAAGACCTTCTCGTATATGTATCTCGCAGGGAAGTCTGTCTTCAACCAGGACTCAGCGTCCTTGTTCTCAAAGTCATAGGTCAGACCCTCGCTCTCCTGGTACTGGTAGTCCTCGTTGTTTCCTGCCCATATCACAATAGAAGGGTGGTGTCGAAGAAGCTTGACATTCTCCGTCGCTTCTCGCTCGATGGACTTGAGGAGTTCTGGCCATGCAGGGTAATTGCCGCAGCCGAACATGAAGTCTTGCCAGACAAGGATTCCAAGCTCGTCACAAGCATCGTAAAAGGCCTGCTCCTCGTATATGCCGCCACCCCATACTCTTATCATGAACTGGTTGCCATCTGCCACCAACTTCACCCAGTCGTAGTAACGCTCGCGGCTGATGCGAGGAATGAAGTTATCCGCAGGAATCCAGTCACTACCTCCACAGTAGATGGGAATGTTGTTGATTCTGAAGAAGAACGATGAGCCGGGCTGATCTTTCAGGGGATCTTGTACCAGCTCTGCTCTCCGCAGGCCGATCTTCTTGGTAATGGTGTCGATCTCTTCAGTTCCGCTCAAGAGTGTCGCTTTGACGGTATAGAGCGGCTGCTTGCCGTATCGGATGGGATACCACAAGGAAGGGTTGCTGATGTGAAATGTCGCTGATACAGCCCCTGACTTGGCCTCTACCGTTTCAGAAGAGACCGATTGGTCGTTCAAAGTGACATCCAGCCGGACCTTCTCAGCCTCACCTTCTACCGCGGCGTGCACTACCACTGTTGCTGATTCCAAGGATTTCTCCACCGTTGAGTCAAAGTATAGATCTGATAATCTGCTATCGTAGATCTCGAGATTGACGGGTCGCCACGGCCCGCAGGTCATCAAAGTCGGGCCCCAATCCCAACCCTGCGAGGTTGTGTTAGCCCTCGGAAGTATGGACTGAGCACAAACAAGCTTACCCAGTGATATTGTGCTTTCCTGACAGCTAGTCGTGAACTGTCACCATTCCAGCAACCCCACTTGTGGTCTGGGAACTTCTCGACCAGCTTCCAGCCTCTTAGATATGCACTGTCGAAGGTGATGACTAGCTCATTGTCACCCTCCTTCACAACCGATGTGACGTCTGCCCGCTCAGGCGTGAACATGTTATCCGTCTCGAGGATTGTCTTTCCATTCAGCAGCACCGTGGCAAACGTGTCTAGGCCATCGAAGGCGAGAATGGCTTTGGCACCGCTGGTCACGGACGGCGCCGTGAAGGTTGTCCTGTATACCCATTGGGCCTCGCCGATCCACTGCACATCGAGCTCATTCTTGCCGATGAAGGGGTCGGGAATAAGACCGTGATGTAGCAGATCGAGGTGAACGTTCGTTGGGAATTGGCCGACGGGAAGATACTTGCTGTCCTCCTTGTCTGCCTGCTTGAACTCCCAGTTCTTGTCGATAGGGATGATGGTGCGGGGCGCCATTGTGGGGTGAGGGGGTTCACGATGGCGGGGTATAATCAAAGTTGGATATTTGATGAGAGCAAGAATTGGGGTAGCAGATGAGGCTTTGGTAAAGTTGCTGAGTTGACGTGGATCGTGCCTTCTTATAGTTGATGGGATCGGGTCTATCTAAGGCAGGTAGGGACGAGGAGGACTGATTCTCAATCCCATAAGTCATCACACTTATCAAGTTTGGGCCTGGACAACCTGGTTCACTTGACTTGACTAGACAACGAACCCCAAGCAACCTAAACCCATGATCATCCTCTTTTACCAACGCGCGCCAGTCAATGAGCGCGGGAGGACATTCGCCGAGGGCACAGATGCATCTGCAGTGGGCTGCACCATGCACGCACGAAGCTCCCCCGGTCTCTCCACTGTGGGTAATGCCGTAGGGACACGCGGGATGCGATTCAAGATGCTGCTCGCCGGGTACCATTGCTTCAATTTGCTTCCCAACGCAATGTATTTTCAGGGATGCTCACTGGGTAAAGGCGGCTAAAGTCAGTCATGTCATCGAGAAGGTGTGGCTTGTAGCCACAGGGTTGCAGCAACTCCAGGGCTCTCTACTACCGCGAACTACGGACAATTCTGTCTGTATGTACATACGGCGAAACTTAGATCGATGGAACGTCGGGGTTTTGAGCAAGACATGCCGCCATCTTCTGATATTCGTAGTTCAATCCCCACGACAAAAGTTGACTGCTGGACCAAACTCGAGCTTTTACAGCCAGAGGCTAACCAAAGAGGTTTAACAAGATGGAACATCGGGAAGCCTTCCCTCATCTAACAACGCCCATGCTCCTGTGAACCAGTGAACATCACGAAACACAGCATTTACAACCCGAGGATGAGCCGCCAACGATGATGATCCCTGCATCGAGAGCGCCAGAGATCACGCCGCAGATGACAGTCTTCAATGCAGTAGGGACCCGTCTCAGCGGTAGCGTCACGGAGGGAGGACCTCCGCCGTCCCAATTTAGCCTAAGTTGGCTGAGGCTTGCAGCAAGATTAACTACCTGCCAGACTACCCGACTGCACTTATATTAATAACAGCCTCACGATGATTATTCGTATCACGAACCCTGCTCTGATCATTGTACTGTAGTAAAGACAAGGTAGCTTATTCGTGGGCATACTACTTCTCGATAATGCTAGATCACCTCTTGTCTATACCTAAGTGCGAACCTTCTCCTGCCTTGGTCCTTGATATGGCTTGATGATCCGACATGTATGCAATCTGTGATGTATCTTCAAGCGGCTAACTAACAGCTCTAGATGCTTTATGACAATTTCGAACCGCCGGTCAAATTGTGCAGAACTGTCCAACTTTTCACTGCAATTTTAGCTTCACCAGACCCTCAATCTGAGAAATCTGACTAAGCCGAAACACTACGACAAATGCCATGTTTGGTTCAGACATTTACTAGGTTAAAAGCCAAACAATTACAATGCTTCGTTCTGAGGTGCTCGCTAAACGTATGCTAATCTTGAATCTTCCACCATTAAGCTGTAGTTGGCTGCTCCGTGCCAGCTCTCTTCTCCTTGTATCTATACGCAGGCATGGAGCAAGATATATCCATTGCGACAAAGGGAAATAGGTATCATCTGTGTAGTAATTATCCAGTCTCTGCGCCCAAACTCCAACATGTCGTTCTCATCATTTAGCACTCACAACCCCCGCCCCTGCGTCTATTGTTCAGCGTGAACACCTCCTCCCATTCTCTCATCCCGCCCCACTGACCCCGTGGCTTTCCCCGTCTTCTCCTCCGCGTGCCGACTCCGATCTCGTCCGCCGTCATCGAGCTCTTGATGCTGGCACCATCGCTCGCCCCTGCATTCCAGGTCCCGCCTGCGTCTCCGTACTGGATTCCGCTCATGGGGTCGTCGGGGTCGATCTCTCCCAGCTCGATCTTGGTGAGGATCATCCGCGCCAGCCGTCCAAAGATCTCGTCCACGCCCTCCCCGTTGAACGCGCTGACCTCCATCGTCACGGGCACGTTCACACCGCTCGCCCACCGGCTTGCCTCTGTGGCAGACACCTCTCGTCCATCGGGCGCTATCGTTGCGCGCTGCTGCGAGCCAAGCCCAGTGCTGCTGCTCGCGCCTTGTGAGCTAGAGTATGGAATCGACGCGGAGGAGACGCTGCTCGGTGTCGGTGGTGGGACGGTAGTGTCGACCAGTGATTCGCTCGCTAGGTCGAGCTTGTTGCCAACAAGGAGGAGCGTGAGATTGGGAGAGGCAAGAGCTCGTGCATCGTTTAGGAACGGTTGTAGGCTGTTGAAGCTCTTGTGCGAGGTAATGTCGTAGACTAGAATCGCCCCAGCGGCTCCGCGATAATAGCTCCGCGAGACGGAGCGGAAGCGCTCAGTGCCAGCTGTATCCCAGAGCTGGAAAGCTCGTTAGTCTTCATCTCCATCACCGTGCCGCATCTACCCCTTCCTGGGGCAGCATCCGACATAGAGGCTGCACAGTTTGGTTCCGTACCTGTAGCTTTATTCGCTTCCGCCGTGCCCCGGTGCCGACTTTGATGATCTTGCTTGCGAACTCCACGCCGATGGTTTGCGACGAGAGGACCCTCCATTCGTTCTTCACGAAGCGGTGTAATATGCATGACCTGGGGAAGACAACGTATCAGCCACATGATTCAACTCAAGCTCCTGCAAGCTCTTGACCCTGCGCCACAAGTTTCCAGATATCGTAAGACAATCAAAGCCGAAGACGCCGAGCCACCACACCACGTAAAACACAAGACACTCACTTTCCCGTCCCGCTTGGTCCTAGCAGAATGATCTTCGCAAGGTAGTCATACATGCTCCCTAGTTCCTGTATATCGAGCATCAGTGTCTGCCGCGCAACGAGCGATGAGGGCTCGCCGGGTCAGGAGACGCGGATCGTACCTGGTCGCGCGCGGTGCCGGTGCTCTCCTCGCTCGCGGCGGAGGAGCCCCGCGGTCTCGTCATGTTGAATGTCTGCTCTTTGGGAGAGCACGACCTAGACTTTTATAGCGTACCGATGCGATGCATGTGTTGTTGAAGACAGTACGCGGTGGCCGCGTGCAGATTCGCTGTTACAAGGAATGTTGCTTGGTGTTGCGGGAATCTTGGAATTTGATCGTGGTGGATACGCACGACTGCTCTGCTCGCTGATGCAAGCAGCACAGGTCACACGCCGCCGCCCTGGAAACGAAACGCTTTCAGGTGCTTATCAGGGAGCCTTTGCGGCACCGATAGGCTGGCAGCGCCCGCTGTGCAAGTGTGGCTCAGCAGGGCCTAACGTAGCGGCAGCGGTCCGGGGTATGCAAGGATCAGGCCAATTGGAATAGTGGTGGGTGGACCGGGTGGCTCGCTCTTCACTACCGAGGCTTCTGTACAGCTTGACCCGAACTTGACTTCATCCATTTATACGCTGCTTTCCAACCATCTATCCTCCATAATGCTATGTTGGATGAGCTCTTATTACTTCAAATCTCAACCTCCTTAACGATAGTGCTTGTTTCAAAGAGTCTATTTATATTCTATAAGTCAAGATGAAGATTATCGACCGAACCTTCATCATCTCCGGCGGGTATATACACCCATTATCACATGCGCTTACCCTCGATCAATCTCACTAACATCACCTCCCAGTGCATCTGGCCTGGGCCGCGCCTGCGCCGTAGACATCGCTAAGCACGGCGGCAACGTCGCAATCCTTGACATGAACGAGGACGCCGGCCAAGCCCTCGTCAAGGAACTCGGCGCCGTCGCCAAGTTCTGGGTCACTGATGTGCTCGAGACGGACAGCGTGGCCGCCGCCGTGCAGGGCGCCGTCGAGTGGATCAAGCACACCGGCAAGGCCCTGGGCGGCATCGTCCCCGCCGCCGGCGTCGGCCATCCGGGCTTGATCCTCGACAGGAAGGGCAAGCCCTTCTCGCTCGCCCACGTTGACTTTGTGCTGGGCATCAACGTCCGCGGCACGCTCGACGTCGCCCGACAGGCGCTGCCTCACCTTGCCGCCACTCCTCCGTCTGAGCCCGACGGCGAGCGCGGCGTCGTGGTCATGGTGGCGTCAGCAGCTGCCTTTGATGGGCAGATGGGCCAGGTCAGCTACGCGGCTAGCAAGGGCGCCGTGGCGTCCATGACGCTGCCCATGGCCCGGGACCTTTCGCGGTTCGGCATCCGCGTGGTGACTATTGCGCCGGGAACGTTCGAAACACCCATGACGTCCATGATGAATGAGAAGACCAGGAAGAGCCTGCAGAAAGCGATGGAGTTTCCGCAGAGGGAGGGCAAGCCAGAGGAGTTTGCCATCACGGTAAGGCATGCAATCGAAAACCCTATGCTAAACGGCACAGTCATAAGGCTAGACGGAGCATCAAGAATGCCCAGTAGGTTATGATATGGTTATCTATGTAAAATAGAGTCTCATGTGCGGGAAGCTGTTGAGAGTGTGCTTTTGAATGATGCTTCGAGATCATCTAGTAAGCCGTCGATTGATGTTTCATACAAGCAGCTTTGTGATTATATCAAGTTCAGCACACTGATCGGAAATTGTTACAGGTCCATTTTATTGATACAATGTCGTTACACTAAGCCAAACAACTAACATGCGGATTTGTGACCCGATCGTCACTATCCTCTAACAACCATACCGATGACGAGATGCTGTATGAGCGAGTATTAGACATCCTCTCCCATCAGCGTAAAATGGAGAAATTGCTCCACCAGCAGACCCTCTCTGACCGCGCAAGAGAAACTTATACATCTGCAATAGTATTACATCCATCCATGTCTAAACCAAGCTTGCACGAGCCCCATTCTTGAAGGGGGAAAGTCCACAAGCCAACAGTCTCCGAAGTGACCAAAAGACGAACCAAGCCCTAACTAAAAATCAGAGGAAATTCCAGAGGAGGAAGCTAGACGATACTGACTGTAACGCACTAGACAGCGAAATCAATTCTTGGTGTCGTGATGTTCTCTGCCAACAGATACGAGTATGGAGAAAGAAGGGTACACCTTGGCGCACAATTGCCTGGGTGGAGAGGGTACATTTACTTCCTCGCGCGGCTCCGACCTCGCTCTGCCTCCTCAGATGATTTTGCATTCTGAAGTCTTCCGCTGGCCTCGCAAGAGTGAGGGCGATACCGATCGGTGTTTGGCAGTGCGGGATCTCGACTCCCTGCACGGTAGTAGCCGTGCGAGCTCTCAGAGGACTCGCGCCAGCTATTATGCTGGGAGTGATGACGTCGAGGATCCGACCGGTCACGATAAGTAGGTAAGTTGATACCGCCTGATCGGTTAGGATTCTCGATTGGGGAACGGGAACGACGGCGGCTTCGACCATCCTTGCGATGGTCGTCGCGCTTAGTTCCCGAAGCCGCCAGCTGCTGTCCCACCTTGATACCCTCGAGAAAGGCGCGAGCCTCGACGGGATTGTTCATATTGACGTTAATTGTGGCATTTTCTGCTCCTTTAACTGCTACTTTGAGAGCCTGAGAGCTGTCGTCTCCATTGATATTGCCTACTTTGAGATCATTGCGCTCCTTAGTGATCATGCGCAGTTGCTCGTCAAGGCAGCGAATCCGATCGTTCTTCTGTCGGAGTCTTTCCGCTTTCGTGGGCTTCGGCCAGGATCGGATTACTTGCAAAGCTCGCTCAGCAATGGCAAGCTTTGCCGCGGACGGTGTGGGATATGCTTTGGTTGGGCGAATGAGCTGCTCTTTCAAGCGTACTGAGCACCAGAAAAGACCATTTGGGGTGGTGGACTCGATGAACTCCGGGTTGAATGCGCGGTCCTGGCATTCTGTGGACAGACGCGCAGTCGGAGCTTCCTCACTCTTTGGCTGGCCCGGACGCGCAGTTTGGTTGACGACTGGAGGTGCCCGGGGACCTGCGTGAGCCGTGTTCGTCTTTGGAGCGGCATTGAAGGGCATAGTTGCTGCCCACGCCGTCGGCATTGTGTTCGTGAAGTTTGCCCCGAAGGCGGCAGGAGGCGCGGGACCTCCATATGGGCCGCCATCGTTCCTCGCAGGAACGCCTGGAGTGAAGTCACCCCAAGTCATCGTAGGATTGAACGGGCGGGGAATGAAAGGAATTGGAACTGGAGCGGTTGGCACGTAAGGAGTACGGGAAACAGGCTGTGAAGCCTCATCGATGCCTAAGACCGCAGTTCTGAAGCGATCTTGTGGCGTTCCCTTCTGCGGAGCTGGTCCGCTACGAATATTCAGCGCTGCTGCTTTCTGGTATGGATATGCTCGGTGTTGGGGGGCCGAATAGCTGGGGGTGGTAGAGTAGCGGGGAAACTCGTCACTCTCGATGGAAGCAATGAGTTGAGTCGAGGATGTCGCGGGATCAGAGACCGGCAGCCCGCCAAAGGATGAGCTCTCGAGTTTCCCATCCTCGGGTTTTGTAATCTTGTCAGTGACAGGCTTGGTCTCTCCTAGACCAGGCTCGTGTTTGGCTGGCAGAGACATGGTTTAAGGAAGCGATCCTGAGGATGACGGCTCTGTGGAGGATTGGGCGAGATGTTGTCGATACGGTCGTGGACGAGGGGGAAAAGAATGAGAATTTGATGAACCACCTGGAAGAAAGGTAGCGACTAGGAACAGGAAGGGCAGCAAGATACGGAGGAAAGAACGGGGTGTGTACTATTTGGTTTAGGAAGCAGCGATGGAGGTTGATATCGTCGAGACGACGCCAAACATAGCCTGGGCTCCCCGGTGATCCCAAATGAATCCAGATGCAAATGAAACGACAAAGACGTCGATGAGAATGGACAAATTCATTTCACATAAGAGTTCAGGACATCCCAGACTAGGGTGTCCTCATTGACCATGAAGGAGAATAACACGCAAATTGCTTTGTATCTTCACTGGAGACTTCTTGAAAGTAGCTGATAAGAGATTTGGCTTGAAAGACACTTCACCCTGCATCACATCGAACATGCTACATTAGGGATGAGGATGCTGTATCAAAACGCTGTCTCAAAAGAAGTTCTGTGCTAGGGCCTCACCCTTCTCCCATCTCAAAACGTTCTCAACTTGCTTGGTATACCAGTGAGATAGGACACTCTTCTCCACGTATCCCATGTGGGGTGACAGGAGAACGTCACTGCTGCCATTTTCTCCCCACTTGGTTGTCCTCCATTCGCTATCCAGGGGCAGAGGCTCGATTTCAAAGACATCTAGAGCGGCACTTCGGATCTTGCCCTTCTTCAGAATATCGATTAAATCCTTCTCAACGACCAACGGGCCTCTAGAAGTGTTGATAAACATGGCGTCCGGCTTCAACAACTCCAATTCCTTCGCACTGACGATACCTCTTGATCTGTCGGACAGCACGAGATGCACGCTTACGACATCCGCCGTCTTGAACAATTCCTCTTTGCTCACGACCTTGAAGGTCTTCTCACCGTCCTCCGATTCAATGGGGAGTCCTAGGCTTTGAGCCTTCTCATCAGCGGCGCCCTGGGTGAGGTTCGTGCTCCAAGCCAGGATCTTCATCCCGAAAGCTTGTTGCATGATCTTGGCGGTCGCCGCTCCAAGTCTACCCAAACCAAGAACACCGAAGTATTTCCCTGTCAAACCAATGGCAGACGATGTCTGCCAGCCACCGCTCTTGACAGAGCGATCATCCGGTGTCAAGTTCCGGGCAAGAGAAAGGATCAACGCCACCGTGTGTTGTGTTGTGCTGTCAGAAGGAACAAGACACCCCGCGACAGGGATGCCACGCTCCTTGAGAGCTGGCAAGTTGAGTGAAGCATTGCGGACACCCGTGGTGAGCAATAACTTCAGGTTGGGAAGTTGATCGATAAGTTCTTTTGGAAACGGAGTTCTCTCCCTCATAGTGCCTAGGAGATATTAGTGCGGGGGAGACGTTAACTTGTCTGATACATACAAATGATGGCGAATGGCTGAAATCTTTTAACGAGCTGATCCTTCACCTCCTGAGGGGTATCAGGATGATTGTAAGGCAGGAGGGTGTCCCTAAAAATGGTCACATCGTACTTGGCTGGATCCAACTCCTTGAAATGAGGCTCAGCGAAGCCTTGGTAATCATCCAGCACTGCGAGTTTCAGGGGGGTCGACATTTTGTCAGTCAGTTGGCGTTTCTCTAATTTGACTGCCTCAGCAGCTGAATTGATGACAATATATTGTGATTTTGTGCTCTATGACACAGAATACAGTGGGACTATCTCTTACAAAGCAACGAGAAGTCGTTGAGCGATATCGCGGTGCTTGTAAGTTTATCCTGTAGCTCCCGTGGGCTGAACCCGAGGGCCGGCCTTCTTCCGCATGCCGTCATTCCACCCCGCATTTGCTTTTCGTGCTCGGCCCCGCACTCACATCTAGTCTCGCCAGCAATGGGGAAGTGGAAGGCGAGCGAAGGTCGGCAAATTTGACAAGATGTCCGAGTATATATATATCATACATACATAAACGGTCTTACATAGGTTCGGTCATGTCGCCTATCTAGAGCCATTCGGGCTAAGTCAGGGTGAAATCGGCGCGGTGTCTCAGACACCCTGCATCTGGATTCCACCCCCCTAGGATCGAGCAACAGATCTTCGATCGGATCTGGGCGACACTCTTTAGAACCGATCTCACCCTTGTCACCTTTTTTATTGAGAAACTTTCTCTTGGACTTGCCAAACTCGTGGAGCTGCATTGTCAAGATGTTTCACGGCCCGCACTGGACGGCTCCGCAGTCCCCTGTCTTGCAGGCAGGCCTAGCGAACGTGCCGAATTCCAGATCGGACCCGGCCAATGGTGAGGCTTTTGCGCTAAATTTTCAGTGGCTGAATCGTACGATCCGGCCACCATCAGGCGCTTCCTACATCATTGTTTGTTACTCTAAAGTTCCGCTCTGCTACCATCCGACAGCTATTACTTCGCCCTGTTGCACTGGAGACACTTGTAGCTGGCACTCAATTCTGTAATTGGACGCTTCTATTGGACAATTGTTACACTGTGATGCCTTAAAGCGGAGAGAAGGGCCACATCCCGCGCGGAAGTGATGATACCTTGTGTTGTTGTCCCTGCAGGTCCGAATCAGATTGTCTCGACAAGAGTTTCTCGTTGTGTGTGACCCATCGAGCTTTTACTCAAAGTCTTGGTTTGTTTGCCATATTTGTATAATCTTCCGTCTACTCGTCCAATACTCATCTGTCGCCAGTGGCGATTTAGCTGGCGTTTATCAAGACCCAAGGCAGTCTCTATATTGGATATTACACTTCTCAAGGGCGAATGATGATTACATCTATGATCTATCTTGACTCATTATCGCCTTCAAAATGGAAGACGTTTCTCAGCTGGAGCCTGCAAGGCGACCTGAGGACACCCATGTGTACCTCGTTGGAGGAGGCATAGCGTCACTCTCCGCAGCTGTTCATCTTTACTACGACGCACATGTACCCGCCAACCAGATACATATCATTGAAGCGTCTCCAGTTCCAGGGGGGTCAATGGGAGGAGCTGGAGAGGACTGGAAGCGTGGCTACCTTGTGAGAGCGGCGCGGAAACTCAACTTCTCTTATCACTGTCTTTATGACACTCTATCCAAGATTCCATCCACGACGGACCCAAAGGTAACACTGCGCGACGAGATTGAATCTTTCAACAAGAATGTCGAGGAAAAAGCCCAATTCAAGGCTCGGCTTGTTGCTACACGGCCAGACGGACCGCAGATCCTAGATGTGACGAGCATCGGTCTCAGCACCAAAGAACGGCTTGACCTTTTAGGCATAGTGATCGAGACCGAGGAAAAGATTGGTAGTGGTGAGATCCAGGCTCATTTTCGACCAGAGTTCTTTGAGACGAAGTTCTGGGACATGTGGTCGAGCATGTATGGTTTTCAGCCATGGCATAGTGCGATCGAGTTCCGTCGGTACCTCCACCGTTTTCTGCACGAGTTCACAAACATCAGCACACTAGCGGGTATCGAGCGAACGCCAATGAATGACTACCAGTCTGTCATTTTGCCCATGGAAACCCATCTCAAGGATCTTGGGGTCGATTTTCAGTATGGTAAGTCAATAGCAATGGTCCCAACGCTGTCATGTCTAACATTTGCGGTCAAGACACGAAGGTGCTTTCTGTGTCCTTCCTTCCAGGAGATGAGATCAGTGTATCGGAACTTCAAGTTGAGAGCAGAGGTGTGAAGAGCACGCTGGACGTAAAGTCTTCCGATGTTGTGCTAATCACACTCGGTTCGATGACCTCAAGTTCCAGGATCGGAGGAGATGATAGACCGCCGCCACCACTACCAACACAGGAGAGTATCCTGAGTGATCCAGATCCTGTGTGGAAGTTCTGGGTGTCACTCGCAGATCCACAGCTCAACACGCATGCTGACACATTCGGCCGGCCCGAGACCTTTATCAATCGCTCTTCGAAATCTATGTGGCTCTCCTTCACCATAACTGCAGTTGACGCAAGCTTCCTTGACCATCTTAGAAAGTGGTCGGGAACGTCTAACGGCGTTTGTCCTCTAATCACTTTTCGAGATTGCCCGTGGATGATGTCGGTAACAATCCCGAATCAGCCTTATTTCCTCGACCAGCCTGATAATGTCTTTGTATTGTGGGGATACGGACTCTATCCTGACCAAGAGGGAACGTTCGTTAAGAAGCCTATGATGCAATGTACTGGGCAAGAGATTCTGACGGAGCTACTGCATCACCTCAAGTTTCCATTGAGCCCGACTTTGGAGAAGTCTACGACCATACCTTGTGTCATGCCCTTTATCGGCAGTCCCTTCTTGACAAGAGAGAAGGGAGATAGACCAGATGTTATTCCCAAGGACAGTCGAAACCTCGGACTGTTAGGGCAGTATGTCGAGATAGATCGAGATGTGACTTTCACCATGGAGTATTCGGTTCGAGCTGCGCAAAAAGCGGTGTATCATTTCATGGGGTTAAAGAAAGACCCACCACCGGTGCACCGTGGTGACCAGTCCGTGCAGGTCCTTGGTGAAGCTCTTATGGCCATCATGAACTGACCTCGATCACGTGGTAGTTGCAATCACTTTTACGAATTTAGCTTGAACATTTTGATCTTAATTCGAAAATTCGATAGCATAGCCTGGACGCCATAATACAACGAATTAGATAGGCATGGCGATGAGCGAACCAACCTACTGGACTTAGGCCCAGGCTCAAGCTTCGGAAAATACACTATCGATTTGATGGAAAGACCATGCTTTGAAACTTAAGTGGCAATGTCATGAATCGCCCCGTGGCTGTAAAGAGTGCATGGCCATGGTCCTGGATGTACCAGTACTTGGGCATCAATGCAGTTTCAATGCAGTGTTTGAACGAATCGTGGATTACGATTAGCTTCATGGCCCTGGTTCGACCAGATATCCCATACCGATGCGCCGGAAGTTCAGACTTGGCTAGCGGATACTCGTCATTGTCCACTCACTCACAAGAAAAGACGCACTTGGTTCGGGCGGAGAGGAGCATGCCACAGTGGCGCTTGTAGAGCTCAAGGCGATGGGTTATGCGCCATGCGCCATCTCCACTATTTCTATACATGCTTCCTCAAAAGTCCTCTACTGACTTGATTTGATGACATGTGAGAACATCTTATTTGGTGACCACTGAAAGATACTCGAATGATTTCTTTCGCAGACTTCGGAACGAGCTTAAATGCTAGAGATTTGAGTCGGAGAGCAGCCATATGATGAGCAAGTCTCTGATTTTTATATCTCATTTGCCATACTCTGATCACCAGAGTGTTCCTCCTCCAATGATGAAAGAGAAGAACTTTTAATGCTAGCATCTGTTCATAAAAACCTAGAATTAGGGGCTACAGTCATCAAAAAAAGGACTAATTGTAGGGAGGACGACAGGCCATTAATTCTGCGAAACTTGATATGAGATCTAATTACCACGCTCTTCTAACCGATTGATACTTGAAACTTGGATACCTCGGGAAGCCTAGTAATCTAGACTAAAATTTCAGTGAACCCTATATTGTTCAAATTGGGCGAAACTTGGGCCTGTGGGGGTGTGACTGATAGCCTGCAAGCCCGACTTCAATGATTTCGCAAGCTTGACACACGACCTCGCAAATGATACCGATATGCAATGATAGGAGACGTAACATAACACCACTTCCATGCAGACCTATCCGTCCCTGTGTCGTCGTTCAAGCAGGTGTCAGATGTTCAATTGCTAATGCGAAAATTGTGTACTGTTGACTAGGGGCGCACGCAGAGTGAAATATGAGGTTCAACTCTTACATCGACTCGTCCGATCAAATTCCCCCTTCTAGCCGGTAGCCAAACTGGTGGAGGAAGTCATTCTTTCCCTTGTTAGAGACGTGTTCTGACTGGACACTCTAAGACTTACTGTTATGTGAACAGGCAGTCGTATGACATATATATCCCCTTTCAACTAATGCTTGCTTAGTCATGGACAATGGCGTTGACAAAGTTTGGCGGCACCTTAAGACGAAAATTGCCTCTGAGTTTGTAGTTCAGGATCTCGAGAAGCTTGTCTTGACATATATCATTCACTGATATCTTGTAAGTGGTAGATATTGATGCTGCCATTGCTCACAGAGGTGTGTGTTTGTGAATGAAGTCGAGAACTTTTGGCTTGGCACTATGAAGACTCAGTAGAAAGGGAGAGGAGTAGATCAAGGTGCTGGAGAAAAGACACAATATTATCTTGTTTCTCCGTGCCGACTTCCCCCATTCATATCCGTTCATATCGGCAAGGCGGTTTGCTGCATTCTCATTTATCAATTTGTGGCATCTGCTGTTCAACACTCCACCTGCTGTACTACCCATGCATTAGCCCATTTCCGGGCTAATGCGTTATGAGGCCCGTTTGCTGCACCTAACGGATAGCAAATGGCGAAATTCTCACGGAAATTTGATTCGAGGACCGACACACCTCACTTTGCTGATTGCTGACGTTGTACTTGTTCTTATTGCTCTGCCTGCAGGTGCAAATTTATCGACGTGGCTATGCTCGGATAGGTCTGAAGCGCCACTTTTCTTTTGGGCAGCGATGCACCCCCTGTCTTGCAGGTCATTGTTCATCATGACCCCTTTCAAGTCATCGCTACCTTTACCATG